AGAAGGGCTCAGGACCTATCAGCAGTATATCAGCCCCTTTCCTTCTCTCTCGTCAACTCTACTCCCTCATGCCCTTGGTGAGCAGAGGGTGATTTTTTGCATACCTCATCTATATAAATTAGATTTACAATTCAGCACCATCTTTGAGCCAATGATGTTTCAACTAAGTGCTTTGATGGCTGCTTGGCTATCTGACAACTAGGTACACCTTACAATTGCATGGTCTTCAGCCTGGAAGATACTGGTGTTTTCCCATAGGTTCTGAGTGTTTGGTTCTAGGACCGAACACTCTTGCCCCGTACCTTCTAGATCCATCAGTGTACCAACAGATGGTGCAGCTCTTAACGGAGTGTTTTTTCCGTATTTCCCATTCATTTTTGATACTTAAATTTGTTTGGCAATCCTGTTTGAACTCAAACATCCTGTTCATGTGGTCCCTTGGAGCCATGAGTATCGGATGTTCCTTCATTTGGCTGTTTATATCTCTCCGTTTTAATTTTAGCCCTGTTAAAGGTTTCTCTTTAATAATGTTACTAATAGTTTCCTGTGTTGTCCTCATTACTATGAAAGAAAGGGGGTTAATCCCACTATTTTCTCCATACCAGGTGGGACCTTTTCTCATTGCTCCATTTATGTAAACGCATGCGAATCTGTATTTTCGTAAGTTCTCTAAGTTTTTATGAGCTTTAAAGATAAAGTTATAGACCTTGCGCTGTATATGAAGTCTTGACATCTAGAGCAGATTTCTGGTCTGCATCCCCTGTTTTTCATACTATTGGGTTGTCCGGAAAATAATGCAGGATTTTGGTATTAAACAAAAAAAAAGAAACTTGTTACTTTAAAGCAATGTTCTTTAATCAAAATAATTTCCCATACTCTCAATACATTTCTCCCAACGTGTTGGTAACTTATTAATTCCGTCTGAGTAGAATTCAGATAAATGCATTTTCCAGTTCCGTTTGATTTTTGAATATTATGTGTTGTAAGTAGTGGTCCAGGTGTCTAAAAAAATGGTAGTCAGTAGGCGAGAGGTCCGGAGAGTAGGGTGGGTGAGGCAAAGTTTCATAGCCAAGCTCCAATAATTTTTGTGACGTTACACGTGACACATGTGGTCGAGCGTTGTCATGCAACAAAATGGGCCCTTTCCGATTGACCAAAGAGGGCTTCATTACTGCCAATTTCTGATGCATGGTATTAATTTGGTTACAGTATGATTCAGCATTGATGGTTTCGCCAGGATTTAAGAAGCTGTAGTGTATTAAACCAAATGAAGCCCACCATACCGTAACCATTACCTTTTTTTGATGAGTTGGGGGCTTTGGAGCTTCTCCTTTGTCGAGCCACTGTCCAGAACGTCTAGTGTTATCGTAGAGAATCCACTTTTCGTCACATGTAACAATTCTGGCCAGAAATGGGTCATTTTTGTTTCGACAAAGAAGTGATGCACAAACATCAAAGCGCTGATTTTTTGGCGATCGTTTAATGAGTGTGGAACCCAATTTTCGAGTTTTTTCACTTTTCCAATCGCCTTGAGGTGGTCAGCGACGGTCGTTTTACTGACTTTGAGTTGCTCTGCAAGTTCTCGAACAGTTGTTTTGGGGTTTTCTTCCACCACTGATCGCAGAACATCATCATTAAGAGAGGAAGGCCTTCCACGACCTTCTTCATCTTCAAGGCTGAAATCTCCCTCCCGAAATTTTTTAAACCACCTTTGCACAGTGCACTCATTAACACAACCCTCGCCCCAGACTTGGTTAATGTTTCTAGCCGTTTGGGCTCCGCTTCGGCCGAGTTTAAACTCGTAAAAGAAAATCGTACGAAATTCTCGCTTTGACATTATAAGGATGACTGAATTATTTCCAAGTAGCGGAATGCTACAGAGGTAAACAAACAATATCATTTGGAAGAGGATTAATAAGTGTTGACATTCATACAAATGAGTAATCCTGTAAACGTAAACAGAATATTTTATATAGATTTTTTTTAATGAAAACTTAAAATCCTGCATTATTTTCCGGACAACCCGATATGTAAGTAACATTATTGCACACCATTAATGCTCACGTAGGTTTCTTAATAATGGTTTCTTAAATGCCAGTATTTTGTCTCGTATGACGTGTAGATATTTGGCTTTGCTTTTCATTATATCGAACGAATGCCGACTGTTGGCGATGAGAAGTAGCGGCTGCACTCCTAGACGTCCGTTCAACTAGTTGATTCAATTAACTGCTTATATAAAAGAGGCCTAAAGGCGATATATAAAAATTGCTTCAACAGCAATTATAAATTCAGAAAAAATAAAAGATGTATACAGCTATTTTAAGTATACGTTAAGATGCCGACTTGTTTAAGTCTCGCACACGAGTTGGTTACTGATTGCACATCTGGTGAGGGTTTTTTTCGCCAACAACCAATTTTACCACTTGAAGACGTGCCTTTCCAATGTGGATTGGATTCCTTGAAGTAAAATTGGAGACCTTCGGCCGGTTCTTTGTCTAGTGAGATGGGCGTCATTATTCCTAGTTTCATCATTTGTGACTGCTTGAATTAAAGACAAATAGTATGCAATCCATGCAAATTGACTACCGGGTGTACGACGGAATGCTTTTTTTAATATAAATTTGTAATCATAAAGCCGATTAAATCTTATAATAATGATTTTTTCCCCTTTTTTTGCAACATTAAATCCAAATGACTGCGTTAAACTTAAAATTTAAATAAAAGATGTACATTGCGTTTTGTTTGTTTTTATATTTTAAGGGGTACAAGAAATGTTACAAGATGCTCCCGAAATGTAGGAAAATATAGGGTATAAACCGAAGCTAAGTTGGTAAGACTTTCGGCTTTTTCACAGCTTCTTCAGCCTTTTCTTAATTTTATTTTAATGCCTGCTGATTAATTTTTTAAATATGTCAATAATGACTAATATAATAATAACTAATGACAATAGCTACTGAAAAAATAATGACGAAGTTTACGTTGAAAATCTTTTATTTACTCTTCCACTGAATTATTATTTGGAGATCGTGGGTGCCGGTCTGGTGTGACGTAGATTTTAGAAAAACATTTTCTTTATCATGCCGACGTTTCGATGTTTATTGAGACCATCTTAAGGGCCTGGGATTTATAAACATGTTTACATTCTACAAATACATGTAGGATGTGAAAAAACTTCCACTGAATTTTGAGTTATTCCCATTATCCTTCTGATCTCATTTCTTTGGCTTTGAGAACTGCTTAGATAAATTAAGTCAGAAAAAGAAGTAGCTTTTAAAGAAAATATGTTTTCTTCCCTTGTGCTCTTTAACTAACAATTTACACTTTAATTTATGATGATTTCGTTTGGTTGCTGGCGTTGAAATTTCAATTATCTCATTTTCAATATTTTGAGTTTATCCATTATTTATTTTCAAGTTATTTGTTTATACATTAGGTAGAGAAATTGCTCGATGTGTCCCACCTAGTTGAGGGATGCAATTACTTGGCTCCATATAGAGAGCGTGTAGAATTGCCACCCGATATGAGAATTTGGTACGGCAGCGAGTATCTGGGTCCCCTATTCAGAGGAAACGAGGTTGTTTTATTGTATACAGTAATGTTAGTTTTCGTGTACCTAGTGTGTATATAGATTAGAAGAAGAATATACTTATTAGGGTGAATGAGTGGTGTAAGATGGTCGATGGTGGACTATTGAGTACCACATCGACCTAATTAGTTTAGTTATAATCTATTATAATGTGAAATATGTGTAAAGGGTGATGGAAGAGTAATGGTGTATTTAAGAATGGTCGTAAGTATGAATGGGTTTGGAACTGCATGCGTTGAATGAAGAATTGACCTACCTCTGGAGTGGGTGATAATCGAGACCTGCCGGCTATCTATTGTAAATTACGATTAAATTGACTACGAAAAGCCAATAGGCTCAACTCGGCACATGTTAGTATGTAGTACGTACATATGCGGATTTGAGCATATACAGGGTGTCCTTTTTAGATGGCCCGGCTGAATTTCTCTTGAATCAATGACGCTATTAAAAAAAAAAAAGTGTTTTATATTTTTCAGTCTAGTTTCAAATTTTTACCTTTTCTTGTAGAAAAATTATACAGGATACCCAGGCCCAGTTCAACTTCACAATTTTAAATACGACCACATACTTCCTGACACGTCACTTTAAAGGATGTTTTACGCTGAAAACAATGGTGCAATCGAATTTTAAATTGTTCAAAAAATGGCAAAGTTATGACAAAAAGTTAAAAACAAAAACAGTCATTTGGTTTGATATTTACTCACAGCGTTAAAAATCCTTCAAAATTACGAGTCAGGTTGTATAGGGTCGTATTTGACATTTTGAAGTAGAACTGGGCCTGAAGTACCCTGTATAATTTTTCTCCAAAAAAGTTAAACATTTGAAACTAAACTAAAAATATTAAAGACGATTTTTTTATAGCGTCATTGGTTCAAGACAAATTCAGCCGGACCATCTATAAAGACAACCTGCATAAATCCAAATCCAAATCCATTATTTAGTTTCCTTATTTGTTAACAATATTGTAAAGATGTATCTTTGTTATAGAAACCAAAAGATTGCATTTTTTATAATATTTGTGAAATTTTTCTGTAAAGGGAAATAATAAATACATGCTGGAACAAATTTAGTTCTTCATTTTCAAATTTGGCTGGATAAACTCTTCAAAATACCTGAGTTTATCTAAGTATCGTCGAGGAGTAAAATTTTTATTTTGATAGAAGAGTATTTGATTGTTGGACCTCAATGTAAGAAACTCCAAGGTGTGGAGGAAAATCGAATTTTTACTAAAGCATAACTGCTGGTATCCTGAAAGCATCCTGTTCCGCCTTTTTTCGCTCCTCTCCAGAAAAAGGCGAGAATGTACGGACCTGGGTGGTACTGATTGACAAATTGGAGCCAACAGATCCCATGTAATAAATATTTAACAAGTTAGTATTTTATGAAAACTAATGAAAATTATGGATTTTTTATTCTAAAACTGTTTATCACAACCACCAGATATTTTTCCCATTTTGATCATAATTTGCACAGATTTCAGATCTTCTCAATGATATTTCTTTTTACTTAGCTAACATATGTAGTAATTACACGTGACATATGATAAATTTAAAAAAAACTGCTTATTTCATCAAGCATTACATTGTTCTTGTAGCTAAAACCATTAAGACGGTGTTTTCGTTTTTAATCGAACCACAGTTATTATCTGGCCCTTACGGTGGGTTTTTCTTTCCTTTTTAAACCGAATTAGCGTGGCATCTCATGCATTTCCATTTTTTCCACCAGGACGAAGATGGACAGCAACGTCGGTATTCCGGAGTTTTTCGCCGGCAAGTGCATCCTCGTCACGGGTGCGACGGGATTCATGGGCAAAGTGCTCGTCGAGAAACTTCTCCGATCATGTCCTGATCTTGACACCATCTACTTGCTCATGAGGCCAAAGAGCGGACAGCACGTAGCGCAAAGGCTAAACGATCTTCTGAACACGAAGGTACTTTTTTATATTAACTCATTAATTTTTTTATTGTTTTAATTAATTAAACCATTTTTTCATGCCAAAATTTATGAAATGTCTTAACATTAAAGGATACATTTTGTCATGATAGTCCTATAAAACATTGGTACGGCTTTAATTATTCACCTGATGTCTAATGTCGAATGTTTGGCATAAATCATATGATTATGACTACATTTCAAACATCTATTAAATCATAATTTTCTTTTTTTGTGCTATTAATCTTTTACATTATTTATAATTATATTGTATACAACTGCAAAGGCCCTATCACATTGAAATGATTCCGTCTTGATCAACAATCCTAGAGAGTTGTGTAAATAAAATATTTAAGATGTTACATATGTTTCTTGTAATTTATCACGGTTTTTAACATTCTTAATAAATTAAAACTAATACGAACAAAGTAATCAGTAAGGGAAAAAAGCAAATTTCATGTTCAAGATTTTTTCCACAAACGTAAAGTTTGTGAGTTGAAATGGTGTATTTCTCTTGTAAATCTGTACAGTAATCTGAGACATTAAATTTGTCCAATTTTATACAGACAATTATTTGGAGATCGTTAGAAGCGGTCTGGTGCGACGTAGATTTAGAAAAACATTTTCTTTATCTTGCCAACGTTTCGATCTTTATTGAGATCATCTTCAGGGCTCAAGGTCTCGAGAGCACTCAACACGACACACAGTAATGACACAGCTACACAGAAAACAAACACTTTGAGCCCTGAAGATGATCTCAATAAAGCTCGAAACGTTGGCACGATAAAGAATTTTTTTTCCAAACCTACGTCAACCAGACAGACCGCAACTCACGATCTCCAAATAATCGTTAATTGACGGTTACTAAACACCACACATTTATACAAATCAATCGGTTCAAAACTGAGATTTAATTTTTCCCCTTCGGTTTTTTTAAAATAATCTGATTGAAACAATAAAAATTGACAAAAGCATCTTGGCCAATACTTTATGTGTGGAAATTCTGTTAAGCCATGTCAGATCTATAATATTTAATAACCAAATTAAACGACAATTTAAAAAAAAATTAAACAATAAACACAGCTGAATATACGTTGTTTAGTTGACGCAATAAATCAAACATGTTTTAATTTTATTTTTCACACCAAATTTCACAATTTCATACTTAGACCAAATAAATGTAAAACAATAGGTCATAAATATCGGCAGAAAATTCTTTATTCACTCAGATTATTTCATTCCACGCCTTGTAAGTGGCACCAAACTCGTTATAAAGTAATACAAATTGTATGCTTTTACTGTTTTTATGAATAAATGTTCAATTTATGAGAGAGACAGTATGTGAATCTTGTGCCATATTTCCCTTGTTTGATCATCTGTTGAACAAATACCGAAAAAAAGATTATTCAGTTTGTCGCAGCGAGAACATCCGTACCAGGATGATGATGGTGTTCGAAGGTTCAGCAATTTGACGCTAAAACTAAGGCTTTATAAAATATTAATACTGCTGCGTGGTTTTTTAAGATTGGCCGCCACTCCGACTTGATACAAGGAGAAATACATTTGAATATATCAGATAAAAAGTTCATAAAATTTTATTTCCCTGCACAAATTTCATGCGAATTTTAAGAACACTCTGCAAAACGTTTGTCTAATTGATTTTTGGATCTTACAATTTACCTTAGAACAAACCTACTTGGGAAAGAGATGTTTTTAAAAACAATCAAATGTGTTTTCTAATGCAGATAAAACGAATAAAGTATTTGTTTGTTTTTTTACCCCTGTTATAAACACTCTATCACAAGGAGGCAAATCAAAACATTCCGTTTTAATAAACGCAGTAGAATATAATAATTTCAAATACATTTTTTTCGTCGGATCCACACTGTTGCAACAATAAACGCTGCTAATTTTTCATGGTTGTTGGCTGCCGGCGTGAGAAGATAACAAACACCATCTCAAGAATACAAATAAACGTGACTTAAGTCCTTGGAATTAATTCTTATGAAATTCGATTCGTGTCATCCTGACGTTCTGCATTGATTACTTGGTGATGAAGTTGTTCTGGCATCCGTTGCTCATCCAGACAAGAAGTTTAACACTTTAGTTTTGTAATTAACCCTGATATTAGCACATTGCCATTCAATACAACCCTGCAAGGATAATTTTTGAAATTAGCATTAGCATCGTGATAGGTTTTATTTTACCAGTTGTTCAATTTTAGGATCCTAAAAGAATTGGTTGAAATATTATTTCACAATAATTTCAAGACGATCAAAAGTTTTAGGGGCGTTTCTCTTGTAAGATTACCCAACCGGAGGGTCTTAAGAATTTTCTGGGTGAAATAAAAACCCTTCACTAACTAGAATTTAATTACGTAAGCATCGAATATATAAGATTTTGATCTTTTATTTATTTTTTATTTTTTTAAATAAGTCTATACGGTATTAAAACCGGATTTGACAAAATTCAGTTCCAATTTTGTAACCGTTACGTGCACCACATTCTGGGAAATTTCTACATATTTAGGACTTACCTAATTTGAAACTCTTACGTATTTAATTTGAGAAAAATGTTAATAGCAAAAAAAAGTATTAAGGCTAATATTTGTTACAAATTTTAGCGAATTTTTCGATAAACTACATAACACTGTTTTTAAATTAAATATTTTTAAATACACTAATTCTATGTTTTTTCGTGTTGCAAGTCATGAATTTAAAATAGAAAATAGGCTTTATTTTATGTGAAACCGAATGTAAGAAAGGAAGAAAAACAGTAGTTACTCCCATATTACAGGCATGTTTAAATTTAAAAGACAAAACATATAGTTCAATTTGTTTGATATAATTATAACTTAGTTGTAAGCATTTTATGAATGAAGAAGGAATGATATTTTCCAGCAATTTGGTTACCATCTTTTGTACGTTGCTAGATGCATTTCTTCAGTTTCTGCTGAAGAAAAAACAGGAAGAATAGATGTTCAAGACAATCGGTGATAATCAAACTGCCTCCAATGTATTACATATTCTTAGCTTTTTCCAGAGGATCAGTTCTGGAATTATGTTATTAAGTATGTAACAATTTTATTGGTTTTCAGATATTTGAGTGGTTGAAAAAAAACCGAAAGGATGTCCTGTGTAAAGTATTTCCTGTGGTGGGCGATATTTCTCTCCCAGAGCTTGGAATAAGCCAAGAAGACCAAAATATGCTCGTTGAAAAGATATCAGTCGTTTTTCATGTTGCTGCGACTGTAAAATTTGATGAACCTTTGAAAATTTCAGTCGGGATGAACCTAACAGGGACAAAGCGCTTGTTGGAACTCTGTGCTCGGATGACCAAACTTGAAGTAAAAATATCTTTTCTTTAATTGAACTAAGCAAAAAGATTGAATGAGATTTTTTTTAGTCTGTAGTTCATGTCTCGACAGCTTATTGCAACTGTGATCGAGCTGAAGCTGATGAAATCCTTTATCCAGCTCCTGCTGATCCTGAAAATGTAATCAAAATGGTCGAAATTTTAAACGATGATATGTTAAATATTCTAACACCTAAGTAAGTTTTGAAAATGGTTTGTAAGGTACATAAGCAATATTTATGGAACCTCCAAGTAATCATTTATTCTTCCTAAACAGGTTAGTCAGCACAAAAAGACCCAACACGTACACATTCACTAAAGCTTTGGCTGAACATGTTGTCGCAGAACAAGGAGGAAGATTGCCTGTAGCAATATTCAGGCCTTCTATTGGCAAGTTTTTTAATTTTTATTATGTGTATTCCATGCAACATAGCAGTTTTGTATTTGTACTGTATAACTGAGGTAATTTTTAGACAAGTTAAAATTTAATCATTAGAAGTTAGTATTATTTGCAATCAGTATTGCAATTTATATTACACCCACTAATAATAATGTCAAAAACTCACCTCTAAGTCAAAGATTAAGTACATAAATTATATATTTGATAGATTAATCATTTGTCAAGTCTTGAGATTTGAATGAGAATGATTTAATTTGTTTGTAGTGTCAGGAGCGTGGAAGGAACCGTTGCCAGGATGGGTTGACAATTTAAACGGTCCGACTGGAATTCTTGCCGGTGCTGGAAAAGGTGTGCTCAGATCTATGATCTGCTATGGTGATTGTATTGCAGACCTGATACCAGTAGATTTGGCAATCAACTGTTTAATAGCTGTAGCTTGGCAAACCGCAGTGAAACGGTATAGATTGAAATTAATTACCAAGGTAGAACAACATGTATAAATCAAAATGTTCATACAGTCCCAACAATATCATCATCTACAACTGCACATCAGGAGCGACAAACCCAATCAAGTGGGGATACCTGGAAGATGTGGGATTTCAGATGATACTCAAATACCCACCTCGAGATATCCTCTGGTATCCCGGGGGCAGTTTTAAGACAAACCATTACCTAAACACACTGCACACACTTCTTGCTCAAATGATACCAGCATACTGCATTGATTTCATCGCAAAAATGGCAGGAAAAAAGCAATTGTAAGGTTTTTAAATAAACCTTGTTGTTTTGAGGTAAAAAATTATTATTATAAATTTTCAGCATGGTTCGTGTGCAAGAAAAAATTCTCAAGAATCTTAAGACTATTGAGTTTTTCACAACAAGAGAGTTTAGGTTTAAAAACGACAATGTTGTAAATCTTTTTTCAAACCTAAAAGCTGAAGATAAGACTGTATTCAATTTCGATGTTACTCAAATTGATTGGCGTACCTACCTTGAATCATACATGCTTGGTACAAGGAGTTATGTCCTCAAAGAGGATCCATCAACAATTCCAGAAGCGAGAATAAATCTTAGGAGGTAATACTATGTTCAATGCAATATATATATAAAAAAAATTATTAACCTTTCTTTTACAGGATGTATTGGGTTCAGCGGATATGCCAACTATTTCTGGCCACGACGATGTTTTGGGCGTTCATAAACCGATCACATTTGGCAAAATCTGCTCTCTGCTGCTCATTGTCATATGCCGTAAAAAGTGTCAGTTCCTTATTAAGGATGGTTGGTAACGATTTGTAAAATATTGTACACAAGGAGGAAAGTATCCAACAAACTGTGGATAGTTATTGTTTATAGATAATGTTAATACACTGGTTCAATTTTAATTTCTTTAAATGCTTAATTGTGTATTGCATTTATAAGTACATATTAATACTTTTTTTAGTAATAAACCATTATTATATATTTTTATTATTACTTTTATTCTTATGTTTTTTGTTACTTGTTAATGACTGTAAAAACTAATTACATCAGAAAAAGAAATAAAGAAAATTAAGATGAGTCCATCTTTACTACCCCTATACAAACCTAATACATATATCCAAACTAATGAGAAGTTTTGCCCAAAATTAATTTTAATTGTTTTGTAAACTGTTTAGTACCAGATATATGTTAATCACCCATATGCTGAAACTTTAAAAAAATTAATTTCATATTTGCTACCCTCACCCATTCACCTTTACTACAGTCACAATAAAATCAATCTTTATTTAATGAATTTAATTAATCAGGGTGATAGATCAATTCTTAACGGGGTACATGCCACTAACTATAAAATTAACATACAAAACATCAAATTTAATTTTTTTTTAACTGTTGTTTCTCACGTACAGTAAAATAAATGGTGTTTTTATGGGCAAAAATTTCACTATGCGGCTTTCCATGGTAGTTATGTATGAAATAAGTAGTGAACAATTTTTTAACAGTATTCTTACAATTCATTATTGGTCATGTTATTATTTAATCTATAATTACAATTAATCAATGCCTATCTTGGGTGCCAAAAACATACACCTATATGTGTGGTGTTTAGTGACATAATTGATGATTATTTGGAGGTCGTGAGATGCGGTCTGGTGTGACGTAGGTTTTAGAAAAACATTTTCTTTATCATGCCGTTTTGATCTTTCTTGAGATCATCTTCAGAGCTCAAAGTGTTTGTGGATGTCATTCTTGTCTGTCGTGTTGAGAGTGCCCAAGAGAGTGCTTGGCACACTTTGAGCCCTGAAGATTATCTCAACAAAGATCGAAACAGCACGATAAAAATGTTTTTCTAAAACCTACGTCACACCAGACCACATCTCACGACCTCCAAACAATACACCTACATTAGCACAGTTGAATGCCACCTTAATTCCCATATACAGTACTCTCGTTATCTACACTTTCGCTCATCCACGGTTGACATAATATTAAGCAACATAAATACAAAATAAAAACAGAAGTAGCTAAACTTTACAGTAAATATGAGTCATACATCCATGAAATACCCAAAAACATGCAAGTGTCTGATTGGTATTCAGACAGAAAAAAACACTTCAAGGTCTGAAATTCGAAGTGTTTTATATTATCCGAGTTGATGCTTGGTACACATCCCTGCGGATAATGAGAGCATAGTATATATTAGTTTTGTATGTACACCTACAAACCTTAGATACTAGAATGATAACACTGTATTCAACAATCTTGAAATCTTCACTGTGTGTCCCTATTGTCTACTCATAGAACTTACGGAAGCTGGCCATTTATATTCTTATTAAGGATATGACAAAACATTGATAAGCAAAGTTAATGTGTTAAATACGGCTCATGACAATTATGAAACAATTGATAAAAGAGTTGGAGGATAATAATAAATAAACAACATTTCAAAGTAGAAAATATCACCACGTTTGTTTTTCTTTTAATATAAAAACATCTTTTAAGTATACAATTCATTGATAAAAACCTATTTAATATTACAAAGTCTTAGAAAATTACATGCAAATACTTGGCTTTGTGTTTTGGATCTAATAATATCGAATATTGTCCAAAAATATTGGTTAACGGACAGCAAAACTGTAGCAAAGGCTTAATATTGTTATTATTGACATGATTATTTACAAAAAAAAATAAGTGGTTGTTACAAAACAATATGCAAAGCTCACACTGCCAAGGACAAAAAAATACCTACAACATTCATAGAACAATTGATGTATGTATAATAGAAATTTTATAATACAAACATTAACAACTAAAATAATAAAATATACACTAGTCACAAAAAGAATAAATACTGATAAAATGAAAATTAAAAACAATTACATTCGTAAAACCATTTACACTGAAAAGTTAGGATTTTTAAAATATTAAAATCATACATTTAAGGATTGTAAAATAACCTGTGTAAATTGAAATGGGAAAGAAATTTTGGGAAGGGGTCATAAACACTGATTTATTGTAGTAGTGCTTTGATTTCGGCTTTATCTGCTGAGTCAATGTAACTCGTTCCATCTGGCGCAGTACCTGTTTTCTCAGCGCCCTAAAAAAAATAAGGGCATTTGTGAAAATAAAATGAAAAAGCTTTTGCATTTTTCTATATCCTCCAAGGTCAATTATCTTGTTTGCAAATTGAGATAAAAACTTGCTTGCATTGTTGTTTAAATTAAACAAGTTATGAAACGCAAATCTGGTTCTAAAAAGACGAAAAACACTTACATTATCAAGCAGCGCCCTAACACACACTGTATGACCTTCCCACACAGCTGCAAGCAGAGCACTTATCCCGTGTTTATCCTTTGCCTGAAAAATATTAAAACAATATATTTAAAAAATAATACCTTTCTTCTATAATTTGCACTACTTACATTGATATCTGCACCTTTCGATACAAGATATTCAATAACATCTCTCTGTCCATAATCTGCAGCATAGTGTAAAGGTGGCCTACCATTTATTTCTTTGTTGATATCAATCTCCTGAAAATATTGACTAACTTGTTAGAAAATGTATCTACTTGAAGGTTTTTTTTTTCATAAATAAAACTCTATAAAAGCCCTTTTCATAAATCCACTACAGATGGATTTTACTGAGATTATAAAGATTTACTTGGATTCCTACTTTTAATTTGTATAAATGAAAGTAAAGTAATTCTTGACATAAAGGAGGGGTTAACGCCCAACTGTACTTGGGTATCACGGACCATCTGCATTAATACAAAGAGAAATAATCACATGAAGGTTTTTAATTTAAAAAATAATGAGGTGAAAGTCACAAAATTCAATCAATATATGTTTACCAACAGTCATGAAAAAAAAGTATTAGCACAATACAAATAAAATGTTTTCTTGAAATATCATTTTATAAATAGACGTTTGTTACGGGAAAATCTTATAAAAAGAAGTGTTTCCCATGGACATGCTCCAATTTTCTCTTGTCCGTCCCGACTTTGAAGTAGAGTGGCAAAATAAATCTATTCAATTTTAAAAGTCGAATAGGGTGAAGCATCACCGACAAAAAATGCCGAATACAAACCGATTACTAATTGATGTGTTGAATATTCATAATTCTCAGACAGGAAAGCAAAAGGAGAAAAAAATTCTATATTCAATAACTTTGTATCGGATATATGGATTTTTCAATGTTCTCATAAATCTTCATGGATTTGTATTGTTTAAAAATTATATTTTAATCAAAATTGAATTATTTGTAAATTGAAGTCATTGTTATTTAAGAGACCATCTGACCAATGAAGTTAAAACAATTTAAACATCTGGCCTTTAAAAAAATCATAACACAATATTATCACAAGTGTTAGAGGCACAAATGCTTTGTTAAAATAACAAATGGCTTCCCTTTTTAGCCACATGAACTAACAAGGACAAAGGTATAGTAATTGATATACTGGTAAATTGTGAAATACTCCTGTTGCAATGTGTCATAAATTGATAAATATCAGCAATACTCATATTTAATGTGTTCAAGACATAATTCTGAACATTGAACACAAATATTTATATTTTTGGGTTTTATTTTTATTCAAAGGACGACTCATGGGTGGTTTACCATGATTTTAAAAACACACTTTTCAACGAGGTAAATATTTTTGTATATATAGTTAATTTTTGTCCAGAAAATAATGGGGGAGAAAGGCAAGCACCATTAGGAGGGACATAATTAGAAACATGATCATCAGATGGCCTAGGAAAACTTGGGAAAGAGAGATCAGAGATTCTTTAATAATATGGGAAATCTTAGGAAGAACGAAGTCAATCTGGAAAAGGCTGAGTAAAACTGTTATGCTGTATGATTCTTAGTTAGGCAAATGGAAGAATTCACAGTTGTATCATTAAATTATGTTTTTATTGTCATTAAACAATATAAGAAATTAAATCATAATCATAAAAATCACAATCACAAAAAATTTAAAATAAAGGTGATCTGTAGAAGGTTGCATTAAATATGAAAGAAAGTAAAAGAACACCACAATTTTTATTACATTTAACTGTTAATCTAGGCATGGCAACTGATAATTTCTATTTTACACAATTACATTACTCAAATTGGCGGGCCAAAAAATTTAATTATTAAATAGCATATTGGAATATGCGATTATATTAGTGCGCTGGAGGATGACCTAATTGAATAGCAATGAAAAAATAATCATAAAGTATTCTTTATCATATTGCACAGGATGTTTGTCAGTCAACATACCATAAGTTTCTCATGAAATGTAATAATTACACGTTATTTTTAGTGTTATTCTTTAATTATTATTATTTTTATTTATAAAAGAACCATTAAATTTAGAAAAGTATTTTTTTGACAAATAGTCAATATACTTTATAAACTGTCCTAATTGAACAAATATATTTCAAGGGATAAAAAAATTGGGTTAAAAGTATGTTTTATTCAATTATCTTTTGCTGCCAACTAGCTCTATCCAATTTAAAATTGCTTTTAGAAGATTGAACAACATTTTAACTGTATTTTTGACAAATTATCTTGAATATTTTCAAATTACAATTTAATTTGTTGTGGCCGAAAATATAAAACTTTTTTTAATTGGGTTGAAAGTATGATTTATTCAGTTATTATATTCAGCTACATATTCAACTATTTTCAAAAGTCCATTTAGATTATCATGTTAATGATAAAAAATAGTAAAATGAAAAAATAGGTTTCAGTAGTAAATTTGAATAAAAATTTGTTATGATTAATCATCATTCACTTGATGAAAACAAACACAAAATTTGACATTGAACATACAAAAAATAATACACTAAAAATAATTGCATTTAGAGATTAAGGCAAGATGAGACAATATATTTATTGATTGATAAAGATAGAGAAGTATTTCTGACAAATTATTTTTAAAAGAATCGCTTCAAAATTTCTTTGAATTCACTAACCTTTCCAACCTATTCATTTTTATCTTTTAAAAACTACATTCATATTGTTGTTTCAGCCTAAAGATAAGCCAAACCAAACTTTCTGTTAAGTTGTACTCTTGGTGTTTTATTTATTTATTGTTTTTATTTATATATATATATTTTTTTTTAAAGTTTGGTTGAGTTTTTTTTTTTTTTTTGCAACTGTAGAGGTCATATTAATCCTCAGGGTGCTAGTGTTTTTGAAAAAAGTTCACATTTAATATGGCCAACTAATTCTAATATTTTCACAACTGAATTTAAACACTGTCATGTCGTTCAAACAGACTGATCAAACAGTATCTAAATCCATTAAATCCAGTATGTTCTACGACTAACATATGCTTAAAACTAGCGATAATCAATAAATATTAGCACCATAAGAAAATTTATTTTATTATATGATTTTTTGTTAATTTGGGCTAATTTAAAAATATAAGAACAATCCAAGAAAATATTTTCTCGTGGTTCTATTTGCATTTCATTCATAATTTGTTATGACCGATCATTTATTTTATCTTACTGAGCAATTGAATAAATAAAAACAATTTTACTTTGGTCTCTTGTTTATTTATTATTTTTAATGTAATGTGCGTAAATACTAAATACAAGTGTGTTTAATGTAATGGTTTTATGTTAAATGTAAGTAATTGTGTAATTTATGTAATTAATGTATAATTTCTCATAGAGAAAAAAATCAATTTATCTAGTTAGAAGACCAGATGTCCTAAGAATATATTTAAAAGAAAAGATAATATGGTAATACAAATTACCAATTTCTCTGCTATATTGAAACTTCTGACAAATTGTTGCTTTGAAAGGCATATTTTATTTGGTTCCTCCTTTTGCAACAAACTAACTCTAATCTGTTCTAAATTGCATACACAGAAATTGCCTTGTATTTTCAAGGGGCAAGATAGGACAATATTTTCATTGACCATGCTATAAAGCCCTTTGACATATATTGCTATAAAATTAGGTTGAAAAAATGTTTTTTCTCATTTAGTTTCAAAGACCATATGAAACAAAAATTGGTATCTACATAAAAAATAACCCTCTGAAATATTACTTTTTTATTACGTTGAGTTGAAAGTGTATTTTATTTAGTGTCCTTTTACCCCAAAAAAGCTTTTAAAATTACATTTATAATAAACAATGATAACTCCAAAATGAGGGCGGCGATGGCCGCAACGATTTAGATATAAAGGTATAAAGGTGGTTGTTCTTACAAAGACCAATGTAGTTAATATTTGTTTATCGGTCATGCTGTAGAGACTGCTTGCTACATAACATGATTTTTTATTTTTTTTTTTTTTAAGGTTTTATTGGTCTAAATACATGTACATTTGGCCTATTTGCAATAAATTAAGCTGAGTGTTTTTCTTTTTTTCTCTCAATTACATGTTTCCTGGATCAAATTTGTTTTCTAATTAGCTTCCACAAAGATTTTCATGTTGCTCCAATGTCCAGATGAAACGATTGTTTTATTGGTCTAAATACAGATACATTTGGCATATCATTAAAAAATTAAGTTGAATCAATCTTCTCTTCAGTATTCTTATCTCAACAATTTTTTTTTTAATTCATCCCAAACAATAAATGGAACAATATTTGTATTTATTGGTCTAAATGTAGATACATTTGACATATTTGTAATAAATTACGCTGAAATTTTTTCTTTTTTCAATTACATATCTCCTGGATGAAATTTTTTTTCTGATTTGCTTCCAAAAAGATTGTCATGTTGCTCCAATGTCCAGATGGAACGATGGTTTTTATTGTTCTAAATACAGATACTTTTGGTGTATCATTAAAAAGTTGAATTGATATTTTCTTCAGTATTCTTATCTCGACAACAAACAAATTTAATTTTTTTTTTTCAAATTCATCCCGGACAACAATATTTGTATTGGTTGTGGTAAACAGAAGGCTTTTTTTTTTGTTTGTTTTTTTGTTATTTCGGGGTTGGAATATGTTTTATTCAACTCTTTTTCCCCACCTGCCATCTAGCAAATTTAATTTTTCTAAATCAATATCTGTTTTTTTTTTTCCAAATATAAAATGGAACATATTGTTTGTTGGTATTGATTTATTGGTATATTGATAATACAAGCACTTTTCAATGTACAACGTACCGAAATACTTTTCCCTATTGGCAACCTCGACAAATCGGATACAATTGTTTTTAAAATATTGGTTGAAAGTATGTTTTATTTGGTTCCTCTTTGGTAGAAATTTTCATAAATTGTTGTGTTGTGTCCATTCCAAGGATTAGATCAATATCAATGTAATTGTCCAATATGTTCTACAACAGATCTTTAAAATGATAGTAGTTTTAAGGTAGGATCAAGATTGACATTACATATTAATTTAATGACATCGTAAGATTTAAGTGACATTGCATAATTTTTTTTATGACAACCTATGTATTAGGCTGATATTAACTACAATCCAAGCGGAACAAACTAGCATAAAATGGAAGCCAGATGAGGCTTATATTTGTAAACCCATTGTCAATTTTTGTTAAATGTATTAATTTTTTATATAATCTTAATGAGAATCTTTGAGAAATTTTTGTTTTTAGTTTGCTGTGTTTGTATATAGTTGCAGTTGATAGTATATTAATGTTGAAATGCTTTTCTGTTAAATATAAGGTGCAATTTTCCTTGGGAAAATTACTGTCAAATCAATTAAAACGTAGACAGCCAAATAAGGTTGGACAAGGACAGTTGGAAAATAGAAGTGGTAAAAAAAAACTAGATTTTTAAATTGTGTCCAGGTTTGTCGAATGATAAAAGGCGAAATTGATAAAAGGAGGATTGACTAAGCGTTTACGTCGAATGAAAGGATCAGTTCAAAGAAATGGAACTCCCAATAGTTAAACAAACAATACAAATAAAACTTAACTATCGTACTAACCTTGCTTTCGACGAAGGCTTTCACGTATTCTAAATCCCCGTTTTTAATGCCCCAGACTAATTCGCTCATTTGGAATTAATTGGTTGATAGTCGGGGAGGAAAAATGTTATATTTGGAAGGGAGATCCTCTTCTGGCCGAGACGGCTTCGTTGTCGGCCGCAGGGGGTGAAGATTGAAGATTTGAAGAACACAAAACGGCGAATATGGGAGATGACAGGAAAACCTCTCGGCTGGCTAAAAGTCGCCCACTGCGTGAGATCTCGGCCGACGCGCTGCCGCTAGACAGTAGACTGTAGACCTGGCTCGCTCCTCCGCCCGCTCCCACCTTGGGCTCGTTCTCACGTCTATCACAGAATGTGTATTTTCAAAAGGGAAATTGACTTTTCCTCACGACCTTCTTTACAAAAAGACACGAAATTATAAATAAATAACACTTTTAATACCGATTGAACTAGAGGAACCTCGACAAAATTTAATTTTAAAAGAAACAGCCGAATAATGTTGAAAGTACACACAATTTTCAAACTACATCAAATGTAATCAAATAAAAAAAGAATAGTTTTTTTTTCTATTATTGTATAATACATGAATTAACCATTGTCATACAGTTTTATAAACGATTATTATTAGAGGATTAATAATGAAGATGTAAAAATTATAACTGTTTTGAGTTTTTACGCTTGAAATGAAATCAGACAAATCTTGAATGAAGTTTCCGCTTATTGTTAGATAATTCTGCAAACTTGAATTAGTACATGTAAAACATATTTTGGTCGACTGTCCCACTTTACAACCCTTTAGGCAAAGGCTCAACCTTTCGAGTGATTTACAGGAGTTACTGGGTCCCCAGTGTTTCTTTCGAAGAGCACTTTTCAGCTTTCTCAAATTTATTGGAGAGATTTAGGCCTTTTCCCAAATTGTTATACCATTGAATGCCTGCTAATGTTTGAATAAAAGTTGTGCGTGCAAGATTTCTTTTTTCAGAGGTTTTTGAGGCTGCCGGAGCGGAAAAATGAAATGGAAGAAAATACAAATTGCGGGGGAATAAACTGCAATGCCCAAAATCGCAATTTAAATAAGAAAAATAGCTCCCTCCAAAACAAAAAAAAAGAAGATAAAGATAAAGAAATGTTATTGTGTTTTGTTTCTTATTATTGTTATGTAGAATTAGTTTATGTATCATATTTGAATGGAAGAATAAAAGGATAAGGATGAGCCAATACTCATGCTGAGACTGTTGCTAGTCTGACTCCATTATTATTATTATTATTAGCCATACAAGCCTACGGGGAATTTTTAAATTCACAATTCTAATTAAAAAAAGAAACAGAAATAAATTTTATAATTTTATTAAATTTTATGCAATTTAAAATGGGAATTTTGTATACATTTGGCCTTCCGAATTACGAATTTTAAAAAGAAAAATTAAAGCTTGGATGGCAATAGGATAAATTAGATTACGAGTGAATGTTTGGAGTCAGAGCTTTATAGCACTCAGAAGAGATATCCTAAGATAGAAGGTTTGGATGTTAGGGCGTGAAATTTAGCCGTTAAAACGCCCTTAAAAATTAATAATAATAATAATAATAATAATAATAATAATTGCTTTATAAAAACAAAATTAAACCTTTTTTCATCAAATTAAAGAACAAAAGCATTATGGACATAGATCATCTGATCTGTCTGCCAAAGGTTATTGGTTTAAAAATATATAAATAATAAGTTATGGAGAAGGGAGAGAGAAGAAAATAAAAAATATACCAAAAAAAATACAAATATACAAAGCATATATAAAAATACAAAATTCAATAAAAATAAGGTGATGGGCTTGGCAAGTAGTCTGTCAAGAATCAGAACAGACTACTCACCAAGTCCATGGACATCCAGTTCTGAATTTATGCGAATGTAAAAAAACTGTGAAACCTGAACCAAATTTAATTTTAAAAGAACAGCCGAATAATTTTGAAAGTACACACAATTTTCAAACTACTTCAAATGTAATCAACCAAATAAAAAAGATTGTTTTTATTTTATTGTAAAATACATTAATTAACCATTGTCATGCAAATTTTATAAACAATTATTATTAGAGGATTAATAACGAATATGTCAAAATTATAGCTGTTTTGTGTCTTTATTCTTGTAAAGAAATGAAATCAGTCAAAACTTAAATGGCGTTTCAACTTATTAATAGACAATACTGCAACCTTGAATTAATATTAATAATAACATACTTTATTACAAAAAAAGAAAAGTCATAAACATTTAAAGTAACATTACGGCATGGAGGGTGGTCCGTCTGCAGGAGGTTGATTTTCATTTGAATGAAATTTTTGGTCGACACAGAAAAAAAACTTGAATTAATATATAATATTAATAATAATAGTTTCAACTAGCAATAATCGCATCTCAGCAGAACTTCATTGATTACGACCTTGCCTAATTGCTTTATTAAAACAAAATTAAAACTGTTTTCATTAAATTAAAAACAAAAGCATTATGGACATAAATCGTCTGATCTGTCTGCCAGAGGTCATTCGTTTACAAATACATATAAAATTAGTTTTAGAGGAGAGAGAGAGAGAGAGAGAGAGAGAGAGAGAAAATATACCAAAGAACTACAAAATACAAATGTACAAGTGTATATAAAAATAAAAAGTACAAGAAAAATAAGATAATAGACTTGGCGAGTTGTCTGTCAAGAATCAGAACAGACTACTCACCAAGTCCATAGTTGTCCAGACATCCACTTCTGAATTTATACAAACGTAAAAAACTGTGAAACCAGGGAGCATGAATAATATACATATCCCTACTGTTGATTCTGATTGGACCAAATTTAATTTTAAAAGAAATAGCCGAATAATGTTGAAAGAAGAAGAATGTAAAAAACCGTCAAACCACTTTATATAAAAAAGGTTGAAGATGGTCTAATATTGACCGAAACGCATTTGAAGAAATTAATGCCTTCTATAAAAGAGACAATTTATTTCCTACCCATCTTATTATAGAGTTCCACAAAATCAGGATGGACACGATCAAAAAACAATACAAATAAATGAGCAGATGACTATTAAAAATGAGGTCTATACCAAAGTTTTAATGCTCAATAACAATGAAGGAATAAAACCTAAAACTGAAATTATTGAATTAGTTTGTATCTGTAGCTTCAAGTATGTTTAGCATACTGAATTCATCAAGAATTTGAACCATTCAAGAACCGCAAACCTCTCTTCTTGGGAGAGTAAAACAACCAAGGTGTAAGGTCGAATCTCACCCAAAATCAAGCACTCCGCCAACAAGTGAAAGTCTCAACAGAATGAGAATCGCATAGGGAGCATGAAGCTTCAAATTCTTTATGAGCTTCAAATGTACTCGAGAAATTTTTTTTTTAATGTTTCAAATGTTATTATAGTACAATATGATAGTATGTTATATGAAGTTCATATAACAAAAATGTAACTAATAGTAAATAGTATAGTATAAATAAAAAGACACATACACATACAACTTTATATTAAAAACAATGGAGATCTATAGGAAAGAAAACACTTGTTCTTTTGTTGAGCTTTCAAGGAATATATCACCTTCATAAGGACTGTGAAACTACTAATAACAATTTACAAGGTTAACAAATTATATGAACATCTATTTTCAGAAATGAAACTTATGGTAGTAAACTTACTATGTACATGATATACATTAAATTCATTCATTATCAAAAGTTTGATGTTTTTACCAAGAAACTCTTTTCTTTGTTACTTCCTTAAGACTTAATCCTTTTCATATTTTCCCATCAATACTGGCATTTATTGAGCAAAGATTCAAGATTCTTCCTTAATTGGTCAATTTCCAATTTTGTATTTTCTTCTTGTGTAATTACTTGGAAAAAGCGAGGAAAAAAGGTAGTTGGATGTTAAGTCTTTCTGTATGTCCTGTTTCTTTGAGTAAACAGGGTTGTTTTATTATATATAGTAATGAGTTTTGCATACCTAGTTGTGTTGAGAGTCAGAGTATTTATTTGCCTGAATGTGTAGTGTGAGAGGGTCAATAGTGGAATATTGAGTACCCCATCGAATTTGAGGACATAAGTAAAAATCTATTTAAGTTTAAGTGAGAGTGAAAATGGATTTAGGAACTGTGTGATTTGGGGTCTAAAATAACCTAGCTGTTGATGGAGCCTAACCTCAGTGGCTGGACAGACAAGACCAAGGTACACCCAGGGTAGATTACTCTCGAGGCCTGTTGGTAAATTATTGTAAATTACAAAAGCTAGAATTGCTGGCATCCTACGAGAGTGATGGGCTCAAGAAAGTACATGCACGTGCAGATTTTAGCTTATATCAATCAGTAATAGTATTCTAGGTAGTTATCTCATATTAATAATCAATCAGTTCTATTTACCATGCTTAATTTTGCTTATATTTAAGGGAAATTTAAATATATTCAATTACCTGTAGCTTTTCTATTAGACAAAACCAAGAAGAATAGGCAGACCAGGATGATCAGAGATGATCAAGCTACAGGTTCATCAACTAGTCACATTTCTTAAATCCAGTGACATGTATTGGCAGGAAATTACTGATAATCCAACATTAAAATAAAAATATTTATTATTCCTAGAATAATTTTACTTTTTCTATACTGTATTTATACTTCTAATAGAACAATTATTATGGATTTCCACAGATTTAAACAAACATGTGTTATGAATTTCAATGAAAGGCAGTTAAAAAAAAATCATCTCTGATGGGGTATTTTATTGAATACACTTTCAAAAAATGTTACATTTGATTGTCTTCATTTTAAATCAATTACAGATCATTATACAGAGGAGTCTTGGCAACTAGTTAAAATCGAATAACTAGAAAGGATTTCAGTGAGATTAATCTTCATCATCTGAAACATCTGAGTTCTTTTTCCATATAAAGCATGTTTTGTCTTTAGAAGCTGTAACCACAGTTTCTCCAGAATATGAAAACAAGCAAGAGAATACTTCATCGGTGTGGCCTTTCAACACTTGACGGCATTGGCCTGAAGAAGCATTCCATATCCTTGCAGTGCCATCTGATGAACCGGTCAATATTAGACCTCCCCCAGGGCTGAAAGATACCTTAAACAATTGTTGTAAGTAAATAACAAGTTTACGACTGTGTTTAAGATTGAATACTTTTGAAACTTCCGCTTTATGGCCGTTCAAACAAAGAAGAAGTTTGGAGTTTCTCCTAGAGTCCCAGACTTTTACAAGACCATTCGCCAGGGCTGTGGCCACTCGTTTTCCAGTCGGATCAAATGTAATATCTAATACCTAAAATGTCCATGATTTTTTTTTCCAAAATTTTCAAATAAATAAAATTTATACTTACTTCATCTTCATGGTGCAAAGTAAAGTTGCAACTTAGGTTCCTTCTGTCCCAAAGTTTTGCTGTGCAGTCCATAGAACTTGTTGCAATAAGATCAGATTCAAAATTGAAAGTACACTTGCTAATGCTATCCTTGTGGTGGTTTAAAACACCAACTTTGCTATAAATGAAATTAGCATATTATTGCCAGTATGTAACTTAGGTTTTCAAAACATTCTCACCTATGTGTCCTCGTGTCCCAGAGAATTACATTGCCATCGAATGAACCGGTAATCAAATGTTTTCCATCTGTGCTAAACTCTATCGTTATGAGGGAATCATTATGCCCTTCCAATACCCAAAGTTCAACCCCTGAAACAGCAGTACACATATCATATACACATAAAAAATATAATACTGAAGAAGAAGAATTAATATTGTAGAATTTTAGAATTTCCATTATATTTGCTATATTATCTGATTGTTATATTTATATAAATATTTACAAAAAATTGAAATTTTGTTTAAGTACCTGTGTGAAGATCAAAAATTCGACCTGTATGATCCATAGAACCAGTAGCGATGTGTCTCTTTGTAGGTTCATACCTTACGATTACAACTTCTTCCGTGTGACCTATAAAAGATGCCAGCCTTTCACCACTTTCTGAATCCCATATACATGCTGTTTTATCAAAACTTGCAGTCAGAACTCGATCGCTGTTTAAAAATTAAGTCCAATGTTAATGTTAGGCTTTGATTATTAATAAACTGAATCTTTCATCTCACTCAAATGGATAATTGAACATAACATCGAATACAACTCCGTTATGCCCTTCTAAACTGTTCGACAGAACTCCCTTTCCAACATCCCAGATTTTACAACTCCGATCAAAACTCCCTGTTAAACACCTTAAAAAATAAATGATAAATAAAGTTTTCATTGGAAATTATTTAGTTTGTAATTACTTAGTTCCTTCCTTATTAAATGCAACGTTCGTTATTGGCAAGATGTGCTCAATGGTGTTGTACTTGACAAAATTGTGTTTGCTGTCCGCCTTTAACTTGTCCTGCATTTTGCAAAGAGTAGAAATCAAATACGGTTTCACTCCAGGGGTTAACAACTTTTCATTACACATTAACTCATCTGCTAATGATGGTATATGAGTCCTGGAAGTTTAATTGCATAATTGTTAATCATTTTACTATCAAAATTAATCAATTACACTTTGCATGTAATGTATGCAAAAATATTTAATTAAAATTCAATTTAGGGATTACCTTGGCCTTAGTAATCAGCAGAAAGGCATTTATTTATAATAAATGTAATGTATTATTTTAAATAAAATTGTTCATAGTTTTAGTGTTCTTCTTTTTGCACATGAAATTGTATAAAGTTTAATTTGTAGGGTTGTTTTTCCAATAATGAGCGTGCGGTCCTTTTTATTTAAAACTTTATTTTTCTCTCTTTTTTTTAAGTGTCGATATTTCAAGCAGTTTCATCTTCTGTAACTTTTCTTAAGTATTATTTTACACATAGATTTTTGATATCCATGTCAGTACTTAACTAACAAAAATTCCAGAAGATGAGCAAACTGCTTAAAACATAGACATTACTGTAGAAAAGAGAAAAATAAAGACCGCATCTCACGATTTCTAAATAAAGAAAAATAAAGTTTTAAATAAAGTGCTCATTATTGAAAAATTAACTCTACAAAATATATTTGTACACTGAAGGTGTACTGGACCATTCCTTTTATTGTTATTTATCATTTTATTGTTATTGGTCTTCAGCTCTGTATTTTGTTTACTTAAAAAGGCAAACCCTTGTTTTGGTTGAATCAATCATCAATTAATCCTTCCATTCCATTCAAAATATCTTTAAATATGTATCATATAAGAACAAAAAGAAGATAAGATAATGGTCTAATTAAAAAAGACATTTAATTGCTTATCTTTATTATTTGGCTCACTACCATAAGAATGACAGCTATATTTATTGAAAACTGGTACGGTTGCTGTAGGAGGGGGCAGAGGGCTCCTGAGCATGTTTAGCTCCTGATGTCTTGGAGACGTAAACATTTACATAGTTATTTTGATGTAATTTTTTTTTTTTTAATGCTGCACCTTCTTTATGACCTTCGTAAAACTTAATCTAATTTTTTATACGGAAGAAAAGCCTCATTTCTTCCTAGCTTGTCTTTGCCTTGCCAGGCATCTCCCTCTAGTACTTTATGACTAATACCTAATCAGTAAAGAAAAAAAAAAAAAAATGAAAAATATGACCATATCATTTGTTTGGTGTGTACATGTAGTAACATTTTTTTTTTTTCAAAAAGAAAACAAAAAAACTAGACATGAGATATAGGTGGTGGATACAAACATGATATACGCTAGCTGGCATAGAAAAAACATTCAATTCTAATAAACTTACAATCATGTTTTTTATTTAATTTGTCAGAAATCTCTGATATACATCAGTATATTCATATAGTAAGCATTTATAAACAGCGTATATATTTATTCATGATTCCCTATGTTGTACGTTATGTGTATTGCATATTTTTGTATGATATAATATTTTAATTGGTGATACACATTCATAATTACTATGCACATATGTAATTTATATTTTTGACTAGTAATATTGCAATAAAGTGAAATACGAACTATTATTATATATTAATAATAGATTATTCCTTCACTATTATTCATTCTTTATACTATTTTTATTACAAAGAATACCAAAATCTACCAGTTGAGAACATCATTGAATGTGTAGAGCCCCATAATTTAAATACGTACATTTTAAATCTAAGAATTGGCAGAAATTTAGCCTAATCTTACTTGGTTGTTAACTGAAAAAGGTCCAACATCTTTTCCTTTATTAAGCCACCCTGATTGTACACGAGGCAGATCCCTACAAAGCAAATCACCTCAAACACAACTTCTTTTGAAAATAATTTTAAAAGCGCTTGTTCGATTTACCTGGAGGGAAATATCTGATAAGGAGTTTGAGCAGTTTCATCTTTTACTTGTGTCATTCATTGTTTCATGGTACTATCAGGTACATATTGTTGTCCTCTTTTCCAACCCAAAGCGCATAATAAAACTAAAGATCCCCCTCATAGCAAAAATAAAAATATATAACAAGGAGTGAGAAGTGGATACGAGAGGTTTTCTAACAACTGCCTAGCAACAAACAAATGAAAGGTAACAGAATAATAACAATTTTAAACACAATATGTAATGTTTAATCCACAAGCTTACAAGCTTTTGAAAACAACAAACATTGTGAAGGAAGTTAAACAATATTTTTTGTTTAATTTAAAAAAATATAATTACAATAATTTCAGAGGTTTTCTTGTTTAATGTAAACGACATTAACAATATTATTTTAGTGCTGACATTCGAGTTATTAGTATTGCACAGAAATTGTGTTCACTTATTTATTTAATAATACATTTTTTTCATTGTTTTTGTTTTTTTATTTAAAAATATAAATAAATTGTATGAAAGTCTTAAATTTTAAGAAAATCTCAATCGGTGTCATAAATCTTAAACTTTCCCAGGTTGAATCAATCAGTCCTTTCATTTATTTATTTTATTATCTTTTTTTGGAACTGCCCAGCGATTAATGTTCTTACACTCCCGTTCTTCTTCCCTTTAATATTTGACTTTTTGGTTCCTCTGCTTCAGGTTTTTCTTTGTGTTCTGATCGACTTCAGGAAGTTCATCATATTCTTTATTGTTCACTTTCTTTACTGAAACAAATTGGATTTTAGTTGAAGGCAAATTATTAATTTAGGTTAATATTTTGAAAATCATTATCTACGTTTTAAAAGTTATATAATCTAAAAATTCTAAAAGTTTTATGTCAAATAGCAGCTCTGTCTTTGTAAGTTCAAAAACTTTTTTTTTACCCTTCCTCGAGCTAAACTAATAATATTTTGACTTAATAATATTTATATTTTACGTAAATATTATTCAAAATAAGTTTACTATTGAATTTATCTCAAATGTCATTATTGTGGTGGTTTATTAAATCAAGAACATCTGTTAGTTAAAACTTAGTAGCAATTAATATCAAAAGTGTTTGACAGATGCAGTAAAAATCATACATCAATGCTACAAAAAAATAAATAAAAATCAGGATTCTTTTGCCAAAAGTGTTTTTTATGATGGTTTTAATCCTGTAATATTTTTAAGGAGTAATACATGATATACATGATTAGGTTTATTTATTTTTTTATTTTTTGATAAATATTGATAAATAGAGATCAAAAATTTCAAGCTGTACAACAGCATCCAGATTATTTCAACTAAAGAAAGTTATATAAAAAATAAATAAACAAAATATATTTTTGTATATTATTAAAACTGTTTCTTACATTCCTTCTTCTTAATTGTTGGTTTCTTGATGGGTAATTTCTTAACAGTTGTCACCGAAGTCTCCCTAATCTGCCTCAAAAGGTCAGTGATGAAATTGAACATTAGGTAAACCTGGAGGAGGACGACCCCTGTCAGCGCTCCTATTCTGACGGTCGGAGTATTGAAATCGCCTTCAACTTTTGAAGGCTCATTTGAGTTAGCTAGGCCAAACCAGAAAATAAGGAAGGCCAGAATAACAGAAGTGAGACGTGCAAGGACAAACACAGCTTGGGTGACAAGTGTGCTTACTAAAACATTTGAAAAAGAAATTGAAGTTTTTACTTTGTGTTTTACTATTTGTAAACGTACCTGCTTTTCCTTTTTCCTCTTTGTCAACAAAACTTATAAGAGCACTGATGTGGTTGAAGACCTCAGCGAGGTAATGAACGACTAATAAACAAACTCCAACTCTGGTAAAACTTTAAAAAAAAAATTATTATATTCTCAGAACTTACACATCAAGATTATGCAAATTCAATAGCAAACAGATTCTTACTTGAATAAATAAAATGACGCTATGAAGAAAATAGCAACAGTGGCATATGATACTTTGTCAAAAATGTCTTCTTTTTTAACTTTTTGGAAATATAGTTCAGGGTAAGTGTGAAGCCAGTAGCAGATTTGAATTATATAGAAAAACTTGAACATGAAAGTCATCTCCCTGTGTGGGTAGCCTTCCCACAACGATGAAAGATTTAGTAAATAATTTTCCCTAATAAAATATTACAAAAAAAATTAATTAAGTATTTAAACAAAAATATCTTTGGTCAATAAAATGAATTAAGACCAAGTGAACTTACTTTAAGATAATATGGACACCCCATGCAACAGACATGACGTAGAAGCATAAAAGCTGCCCAGATTCATTGAATTGTGTCTGTTTTCCTTTTGACAGATGCAGCCTCTTCGAAATTTTCTATTATACAAATAAGATCAAAATATTAAATCTTAAAATAACTTCAAAGAAAACCAAATTTGGAATAATTAATTAAAAATAATAAAAACTCAAGGAAAATTAAACTGTTAATATATATAATTTTGTATAATCAATTTTAGGATCTCTAGTGATCAGTAATAACTGTTATTATATTTAGGCATTCTAATCACACGCAACTATTTTTCTTTTAGTGCGCTAAATTATACCTTATCAAGAGCTAAATTAAAATTATTTTATAAACCTAAATTGTATATTAATTCAATCAAGGGAAAATTAAATCATGGAAGCCCACCATATTTGATTAAGAATTGCAAGTTGTTACCTGGCAGTACCTCTCCTTGGATTTTCATTGAAAAAAGTCTTATCTACTTTTATATGTCATACAATTTATGAAAAGTGATACTTTACAGAAGTGGGGACAGAAGATACAGTAGGCTGAAGAAGCAAGGTCAGGGCTTCAAGTTCCAAAAACAATGAGCACAGTCTTTTCTTTCTTTTTTGCCATTTACCTATTGTCTTCAACCATGTTAATAATTAATTTATTGGTTATTTATAACAATTATAAATTACAACCAGTTCATTTAATAAAAATCAACCAAAGCCCGATAAATCGTTTTGGAAAAAGCCTGATAAACTTTGAAATTTTAAGTAGTCATTAAAAATCTGGTGGTCTATTTTTAATTTTATTTTTCCATTAGAGAAGATGGGACCTCAGTGTGTCTACAGATTATGCCACTCAGGTAATTTGATAAAACATTCATAACTTGGATTTTCTACTGGGGAAAACAAGCATATTTATAATCTACATTTATTTTTATGTCAGTTGGACCTTTTAAATTTGGAAAAGATTCTACTTTGAAACAATTGAAAATGTGATGAGACCAAAGTTTTGAAATATTAACTTCATAAGATTTTTAAAAAATCATTCTTAAATCTAATCTTTCTGTTAGGTATTTCTGAATTGAGCAAGGGAATGCCAGAGCAGTGGGTTTATTACTGTATTCTACTGATTACTGAGATTTATTTACTTAGTAATAATTATTTTATTATTTACTACTATTATTGAGATCTACCAAAGAATGAGGAAAATATCATGGCTAACTGCTGATATGACTATCACAGCGATTGGAAAAACCAACACTGAATTGTATGAACTTAAAGCCTCTGGACATTGCCAACAGGAAAAAAATAATACATTCCACCTAAATGGTTTTTAAATTCTATTAGCCATCACAGCCACCTTGGCATTACATCAGATGGGAAAAACACATAATTAACAATATAATGTCATAGAAAACATATTGGCAAAGGTCCATTGCATATCAAATCCAAGCTTCTTTAATAGCAAATCCCAAGCCCATAGGGACTTAAAATCAAATAAATGCTATAACTGGAGCATTTTCAGTACCAAATTACTCAACTGCTGTCGCATATTATTCAAACCGTTATGTTAGAAATGAAAATCTTCAGTTAAGTCAAGTTGGAAAGTTGGATGGCCAACGAGATAAGGGTCATGTCAACACTGACCCTTTCTACTTGATCAATGCCAAACATCTAAACAGGCAGTGCAAACTTGTCACATGTTTTAATATATAATAACAATGTTTGATGTAACTACAATTATAGTGATTAGATAAGCTATGCCCACATAATTATAAGGGAAATTAAATGCAATACAGTAATCCCTTAACACTTGTGATTTTGACATTTGCGGTTTTCACTATTCCTATATGAAAAAATTAGGAAAGATTTGACATTTGCAGGAGGTCCGATTTCTTTATTGGCATAAAAAAAGTTGCGTAAATAATTTTATTTTCGTATCGAAGCTTTTAAGGCTTATTACACTAAACACAATTCAAAACGAATTTTAAATGCAATCGAGTGTAATTCAGATGAAATATGTTGCTGGAAGAAATTTAACATTGCCGATTGCATTGCAAACATCCTGAATGAACAATGAAGCCTAGTTCAATCAACGCTTGCCACAGGTGAAAATTTGAGTCAAAAGAACACTTTTCCACCAGTTCAAGATGATGAAGAAGAGATCATCTGGCTAGCTCGACAGGTGGGAGGTGAAGGATTTGACAATACAAGAGAAAAGACAAAATTAACGAATTGCTGAATTATCATGAAAAAGAGTTTTGTGACAAAAAGAAGAGGAAACTAAAGAATCCAAGGAAGTTAAATGCAAAGATGAGAACTAGGAAACACAAGTAAGTTTTTCGCAGGTGAAAAAGAGAACACTTCCATCAGTTCAAGATTATGAAGAATAGATCGTCTGGCTAGCTCATCAGATGGGAGGTGAAGGATTTGACGATATAAGAAACAAGACAAAATTAACGAATTGCTGAATTCTCATGAAAAACACAAGTAAGTTTTCGGCAGGTGTTTATTTTTTCTATCATTTAATATTTTTTATGCAGGTCAAAGCTTTTCTTCAAAACAGCTCAGGGAAATTTTAACCTTAACTTATTCAGCAAGCAATGGATTTAAGTTTTAAGTTTAAGAGGAATGTTGAAGCCGCTTCAAATCCCTATTTGGAAATTCTTAAAGAAATTAAATTATTCGGAGAAACAGTGAACAGTTAATAGTTATTTCTTTCCTTGTACATCAAAAAATACAAACAATGAAAACAATTATCATGTACGTTGTTTTTGTAATTTTTGGCATCATGGAACGTAACCCTCCTTATAGCATAGGAAAATAGACTCTACATTCACAGATTTAACATTCATGGCAGTTTTCTGGAACCAAACACCTGCGAATGTTAAGGGATTACTGTACTTATGTATGTGTGGTACATTGCAGGGATTTGAACGAATGGGTCAATTTAAAATTTCTAAAACGTTTTGTTTAAATGAACAAGTCACAGCTGCTTTCATTCTATCGACCCAAATGGAATCCAGATTGTTCAAGTACCCTTTGGGTGCTTCGCCCTGGTCCACTTTCACCTGTAGGACTGACTTACAGCTTGATTTTACTCACATCTAGGATGTATTCTTGGATGATGGCATGGACGACGATGCAGATGAGGAAATAGAAAAAGGTGGCGCAGACATCCTTCAAACCGTATGTGTACCTGACGAGGAATTCCTGGCCAGTCTGCTCGGTACTGACATTATGGTGCAAAGCTATGAATATGTAAGCATAGGGAGAGGTCGCCTGAAACATATTGTAAGTTTTATGATAGGTCCGGAGCCATACGCGACGCTGGTAACGAAGATACCTGGACCATTAGGCCTATGACGAAGACGAGAGCGGCACATGAGACGATATCCGCATGATTCTGTATGACGAACTCATGACTGAAGAACGGTGGGCTTTTGTTAGACGACTTTCTTCCCTTGAACGTCATTTCGGAAGCTGGGTTTCACCCAACGGAGCGAAGACGAGCACTGAGTGACGACTGGCTCTTTCGATCCGCCACCTTCCAACGCAGCTCGGACGAAACTTCCACAACTGTAGAGTGTAGACACGTCAACAGAATCTCCCCTCCTCAGCTTCCATGAAACCGGACCGCCTCGTTAGAGTAACCGCAAAGTAAACCTTTTTCACAAGTCTACGAATTCTACTTCTTATTTATTGAATTACGCTAGATTCTAATAGAATATTGAATAAATATTATAAAACTATTTTTTTAATAGCGCGGTGGAATATCATTTAAGGTATCAAAGATAAAATACTCTTTTTGGAGAGGATTTTTTTTTTGAGACAGGGAAGCCTCGATACTACTATACATCGATACGTTTCCAAAAACATACATTTCTTCGTACAATTGGCAAACTTTGAGCCAAAACATATGGAAACAATTCCAGCAGTTTCAATCCTTCAGATAATACACATCTAAACCATAATGCGTGGCTCTAAAATGTTTTTGTACACCCTGTTAAAATTTTAAAATTGAGTTGAACCGGCTTTTAAACTAGTTAAAGAAAAGTTTAATGAAACTAATATTAATATTTTATCAAAATTTGTTGGAAAATATAATTGTAAACAAAAAATTATATATGTACACACATACTGAATGTTGAATCCGGCCCGGAGGACCAAAATGTACAATGGCAACAATTTTTTGCACAATGCAATAATTAATTTCGGATCCGCGGTAGAGTTGGTAACATTTAATGTATTACAGAGACAGGAAAGTTATGCTCATGTTTTTTACATTAAATTTTTTATCAAGTTTTTATTTTTAATCAGATATGTAATCACCCTCGTTATCAACAATCCTTTGCCATCTAGTGTGCAAATTTTCAATGCAGAATCGAGTTTTTGATCAATGTAGAGATGGCATTTTGGACACCATCCAAATTTTCCAATTTTTTGCCACTTAGAAATTGTTGAATAATAAATGGAAGTTAGATGGCCCAATTGGGGTGAGGCAATATCTCCTACCCCAATTCATTTTTTCCCCCAGGGTTCGCCTTGTGCAGTGCGGTCTTGCATTATCTTGCTGCAGAATAACTCCTTTTTTGTTGACAATTGCTGGGTACTTTTCAATTAATGATTGATTTACCTTTTATTAACTGATTGTTTACAGAAAAGGTCTGCATTCACAGTTTGTCCAGATTTCAACATTTCAAAATGAACGACCTTGTGAATACCCCACCAAACACACAAAGGCGCCTTTTTGGGGGTATAAACCTTGATTAGTTGTACTTTGTGACAATTTATTCATAGGAGCCAACTTGCATTGTGCATTATCATAGAGAATCCATTTTTCATCTCCAGTGATCAAGCAATCAAAAAATGCTTTTGTATTGTGCCACTGAAGCAAAAACCTGGTCTCTTTTCTTCACCAATCTGCAGAAATGTTCTTGGATGGTCGTCCAGCTAAGAGTGTTTGACAGTTCCTTAATTGTCTGACATGAATTTGCTTCCACTTTCGCCCTTAACACGTCATTGTCTAAAGTTGTTGGATCCTGATCGATATGAGTTGAAAAATCAAAAGTACCTGATTTGAACTTAGAAAACCTTTGGCAGTTTCAAGCGTCTTGGTTGAGATGAACTGTTGAAGAACCTGTACATTTTTCATCTCAACCAAGACCTTAGATAAAAAGAATAATTAATTGAAATAATTAATACTGTCAATTATGACTGCTAAACTTATATAGATTAATAGTAAATGATTTTCAATTAGGAATATTAATAAATGCTAAAATTTGCAAAATTCCACAGTCGTGCCAGACATAGGGGGGTCATCATTTTGAAAACAATTTGTAATGACTAATGCTTGTAAATCCTTCAATAATTTATTGCGGATAAAATTATTAAAATTGAAAACCAAACTGTTCTATTTCTTTTGTCTATTTTTCCCCCTTTCTTTTGTCTCTTATAATATGCCTATTAGCTACCTACACCTTTATTATGCAGTAAACTCAGCAGACGGCTACTAGCTTATTGTTCTTTGTAACATTTGTTGGTATTTTTCAATTCTAATAAAGCATTATTATTACTATTATTATTTTATGTATATCCTTATATCCGTGCACTCCTTGGAGGATTAACCCTTATCTCCACCTTGAATGTATTTGCAATGACATCCTCTCTCTTCATTACTGCCTATTCCAACAATTTTACTCAAGACATTCTCTAAAGAACACAAGCAGGAATTTCAAAAGATACGTTTTTCACATCACAATGCCACATTCATCTATACAGATCGGTCAAGGAGCACTGATGGAATAGGTGCTACCTTTGCTTATAAGAATAAAAAAATTTCAGTCTCCTATTGTCAGTAACTTTACTGTTGAGTTGAGCAATAAATAAATCCTTTAAACACTACTTTGAATATCTGAATTATTATTATTAATTTTTTATGTATTTTGGCATTATTGCATATATACAAAAATTGTACAATAGTTACAATATTTACAGAATTATGATTTTAAAAACTTTATGTCATGCATCATAACAATTTGAAATAGATAAAATCTTAACATTATAACACAATTATTATTATTAACACAATAATATAACTTGTTCCATTAGTTGGATGAGGTCAGTGAGTTGTGAGGGTTTTGGTAAAGTAGATACAAACTACAAGTTGAGTCGTCTTTACATTTGACATAAAACAAGTTTCAATTCAAATCGAATTCAAAAACCACTGGTAGTCTTCTTTTTCATTTCTAAGATTATACAAGGATTAAAAGTTATTGGGTTGTCCGGAAAATAATGCAGGATTTTGGTATTAAACAAAAAAAAAGAAACTAGTTACTTTAAAGCAATGTTCTTTAATCAAAATAATTTCCCATACTCTCAATACATTTCTCCCAACGTGTTGGTAACTTATTAATTCCGTCTGAGTAGAATTCAGAATTTTTAGAATTGATAAAGTCAATAAATGCATTTTCCAGTTCCGTTTGATTTTTGAATATTATGTGTTGTAAGTAGTGGTCCAGGTGTCTAAAAAAATGGTAGTCAGTAGGCGAGAGGTCCGGAGAGTAGGGTGGGTGAGGCAAAGTTTCATAGCCAAGCTCCAATAATTTTTGTGACGTTACACGTGACACATGTGGTCGAGCGTTGTCATGCAACAAAATGGGCCCTTTCCGATTGACCAAAGAGGGCTTCATTACTGCCAATTTCTGATGCATGGTATTAATTTGGTTACAGTATGATTCAGCATTGATGGTTTCGCCAGGATTTAAGAAGCTGTAGTGTATTAAACCAAATGAAGCCCACCATACCGTAACCATTACCTTTTTTTGATGAGTTGGGGGCTTTGGAAAATGTATTGGAGCTTCTCCTTTGTCGAGCCACTGTCCAGAACGTCTAGTGTTATCGTAGAGAATCCACTTTTCGTCACATGTAACAATTCTGGCCAGAAATGGGTCATTTTTGTTTCGACAAAGAAGTGATGCACAAACATCAAAGCGCTGATTTTTTTGGCGATCGTTTAATGAGTGTGGAACCCAATTTTCGAGTTTTTTCACTTTTCCAATCGCCTTGAGGTGGTCAGCGACGGTCGTTTTACTGACTTTGAGTTGCTCTGCAAGTTCTCGAACAGTTGTTTTGGGGTTTTCTTCCACCACTGATCGCAGAACATCATCATTAAGAGAGGAAGGCCTTCCACGACCTTCTTCATCTTCAAGGCTGAAATCTCCCTCCCGAAATTTTTTAAACCACCTTTGCACAGTGCACTCATTAACACAACCCTCGCCCCAGACTTGGTTAATGTTTCTAGCCGTTTGGGCTCCGCTTCGGCCGAGTTTAAACTCGTAAAAGAAAATCGTACGAAATTCTCGCTTTGACATTATAAGGATGACTGAATTATTTCCAAGTAGCGGAATGCTACAGAGGTAAACAAACAATATCATTTGGAAGAGGATTAATAAGTGTTGACATTCATACAAATGAGTAATCCTGTAAACGTAAACAGAATATTTTATATAGATTTTTTTTAATGAAAACTTAAAATCCTGCATTATTTTCCGGACAACCCAATACATAACTGTATTTTAGTGAATGAAAATTTATATAAAAAGGGGAGAAGATAAAAAAATCTTATTAAATAACTGTTTATTTCTTTTAAACAAATATTAAAACGAAATTATAAACAAAATATTGTCCCTAGAAGTTTTTAATTGAGGCTATTTATTATAACTTTAACTAACCCAGAAACATCATTTGCACATAGTTTTGTTTGTATAATTTTATAATTTAACATTTCTAACTATATCAAAGTACAGTAAAATAATATTATTTTCCATCAATTTTCTAGACTTTGATTGCAGCATTTCTTGGCCTTACTTTTTGTAAATGATGGTTCTACTCACAGATTGTTGTTTACAACTAATGTGTGTGTTGTGAGTAGAACCATCATTTGCAAAAAGTAACTCACCCCACCTATTTGTAATTAAAATCACAAAATCTGTATTGTAACTAATTTCATTTTAAATAAATAATTCTGACAACTAACACTCCAGCACTACAGGATACAATTTTCTGTGAATGCATTCAAAAGTCAGTTTTACTTTCTAAATCTTTTCAAATCATTTTAAAAATAGAAAATATTGTGATATTATCTGGCTTTTTGAAAGGGCAGCAAAAGTTCTAAAGACTGAAATGTGAAGAAACTAAAACTACATACATTTCAATAACGATTAAATATAGACTAAATTATGACTTCGAGTATTTATGGCTTCAGCAAACAATTCTTGATTATGAAAATATTTCATGAGTATACAAAATTTATCTAAATTTATACAAAAATATAACTATAAATATTGCTAATGCATGATGTAATCTAAATTATTACCGGATCATTTGCCTGAAAAGAATAATTCATATTAATTTTATTAGCAATACAACAATAGATATATTAGAAATAGAATATTTAGAAAAGAAAAATGTATATTATGATTTTAAAAATACAAGAAAATTTTTGATAAAAATCCTTCAAACACACAACTTCAAACAGCATATATCTGTAAGCTGCTCTCCGTCTTAGAATAAGTTGTAGTTGTTAAAGTAAGAACAACAAAAAATTAGTTTAAACAACAAAACAAAAAAGGCTATAAATCGGAAGGGGCGAAGGGAACGTGACGTAATCAATCTGGGAAACACTACAATAATTAAGCCATTGGTCGAAGGGTATTGACGTGACTCCTCACAAAATAGGGAAACCTAACTTTGCAATAATTATACAGTTGGTCAAACAGCAAAGAACATTGAACGGTGTCGCAGACCCAGACGGGAGCCATGTGATTTTTCCCATGAACCTGGAAAACATAAAGATGCAATAGTTGGCAACCGATCAAATACATTACAAAAGTCGAGTAATTTACTACTGAAAGGTTGTCACAAGGTCAAAAATATGTAGCGACATGGGACATCATAAATTGGGGTCGACTCCAGGAGTCGATCTGGAACAGAAGCAATCTCACTATGTCTGAGACTCAACATGGGGACTCAGCCAGCCGTTGCAACTCATTGGATCAGTTGACAGTCGAGAAACCAGAAAGGCACTGGGGATGCTGTAGACACTAATCGTGGTGAGCATCATTTGGGGTAAGCCCCTTTGTAACTAGATCCATCCCAGATTTAGAGTTGTGGTTGACTTTATTGTGGTTGTGTACATTAAAAAGACATAATGTGTTAAAATAAATGTTGAAGAATATACTCTCTGGTTTATTAAATTCTCGAACCTTACCTTCCCCACACAAGAATATGTAGCTTACGCCGACTACTCAAGAGAGTAGTGAGCTATCTCTCTATTGCTTAGAGGAAAGTAAGAAAATATAGAGAGATTATTCAGCCGACAAAAAACGATTTTAAGATTTGAGCATTGTTTTAATGACTTAATTATATCGATAAACTTAAAAAGATTATAACACTATATTGAGATATTTGTAGATAATCTGATATTTTGATGGAATAGCATAGCAAGATTACATACATCATATACATTGATCAAGTAATACTATTTGACCAGCTAATTATTAAGCAAGCAGAAAAGAAGCTCATAACAAACGCAAAATTGAGATTCAACTTCCAAATAAGTAAATTAACATTAAAATTCAAAACTACATCAATGTAATGGTAGGTACGATAAAAAAAAAATCTTCTAAATACAATTAAAAACAAGATCAAGTGAAAACAATGAAATTTAAAAAACAGGCATGGCAAGTGTGCGGCCATGAATGCTCCTCCTCGATAAAAAAAAAATCATTCTTAAGAGCCTTTATATAGTATAACAAAATATCTTCAACTAACAAACCCATTATGGGAAAGACCTAAGAACAAACTCAAGGAAATGATACACGATTCAAGGTCTAGACTTCTTGATAACCTAAGGTACCAACAAGGGGATTGCACATTGGAGAATAAAAAAGCATACCACAAAAAATAAATTGCCAATTGCATAACCACAAGAAAAAAAAATTCTGCACGATACTTAAGATTTGAGAATGAAACGACTAAAGAGAACACATACACATAGTTCAGCCCATAAAAAACTAACTATTACATAAAACATATTATTAATTAAGGTTTTTAGTTGAGATAAAAAAGTCAATGGCATGAGCGGGATTCGAAACCACGACCTTCGGCTAAATACGCCGCTGCTCTACCACTTGAGCTATCGTGACCTCGATCCACTCGGACACCAACTTCCCGATTACACGACATTTGAAAAATGGCAAAAAGGAGGGAAAACTCAAAAGGTGGGGTACGACATTTGAAAAATGGCAAAAAGGAGGGAAAACTCAAAAGGTGGGGTTGAGATGGGAAGTTGGTGTCCAAGTGGATCGAGGTCACGATAGCTCAAGTGGTAGAGCAGCGGCGTATCTAGCTGAAGATCGTGGGTTCGAATCCCGCTGGTGCCATTGACTTTTTTATCTCAACTAAAAACCTTAATTAATTGTAATTTATTAATTGGTCAAGCAGACCACGAAATTAGTCAATATTATTAATATAAAAATCATACAAAATCTGCAAGTGTGGATACTAATTTTTTTTATTTCTCACAACCTTTTTTACAAAAGAAGATAATGATATGCAATTGAAAATGTTTTGTATTTATCTTTTGTATTTCTTATAAATCTATGTAAATAAAAAAAAGATAATTTTAATTATGTTTATTATCATTTCAGTGACCCCACAAGATTTTATAATCTGTTCGAACGCTTAAGTCCTTAAGGTGGATGGGGCATTTGTAGTGAAGAATCACTCGCCATTTCAACAACATCAGTATCACAAACATCTACATTTTCTAACGTCGCCTCCATCTTGGAGCTTGTTATTTTTTTAAGCTGAATCATTTGCCCTTTACCTTCTTTGAAGGATAAATTTAAATCGGATTTAATTTCTATCACCTCTGTGTATGTTTCATCAGCTGACATGAATATACCCTCTTCCTCGTATACGCTGTCATGCTGGGCCAAAATGCGAAGCAAAGGTCTCAATTTAAGCCACCATTGATTCTTTGGCAATCGTAATCTGAAAAAGAAAACCTAGTAAAAAAACATTAAGTTGTATTTTGTATGGAATGAAGCTACATTTAAATTTATTTTCAAACATGATGATGGATTTATTTAATGACTGTACGTACAAATAGTAGGGTTCAAAATACCAATTTACTAATAACTCGAGCTTTTTATAACATATTATAATTTGTGATGTCTATTTTTAAGTCTTTAATTGCTTTAATTACAAAATTTTATTAAGAATTTAACATCTGCAAATTTAAATAACTTAGGGCCATTTTCAGGGTAATATAATTTTCAGAATTAACTAATATTCAGAAAGCAGTAGGATTGGTGGATTGGTTTCAATTGGGGAATGAAACCGGGATATAATTTCTAGGACAAAAAAGATGGTCTTCATGAATTTTAAAGTTGGTAAGAACAAGAAGCAATAAAGAAGATTTTTCTCTAGAATTCATTAAGTTCATAAGAAGTATCTTGTAAGTTGACCTATAAGGTTCCTACGTGGATTTAGTATTATATATTATATTCAGTGTAATTTACTATTTATTTAGTTTGTGTTCAAAGTAAAGTAATTGTCATAGTACTAAATAGTGCACAATATTCATGATTGGCATAAAGTTTCTATTTTGATGTACTTAGGACAAATAAATGTACAGGGTCATCTTAGTACATTAGTTAGCTGAATTTAATTTTGTTCTCTATTTGTAAAAAATAAGACGGGGATATTTCAGTGCAGGTAAGTAACTAAATTATATAACAAATATGCTGAGTACATGTCTGCTGATCTAATGTGAATAGGAATGATTCAACAATACTCATTCTCAGAGGTGCACTCATATATGAATAACACACTGACAAATGTAACTTTTTTCTTGAGTTGTAGGGCAAATTTCATCTATTATATCCTAGCTCTACTAATGATTTTCTAGGAAGACGCAGGCCAGCTATATTTTCTTGCCTTGAGGTTAAACCTCAAAAGTCTTTTCTACAAGTTTGAAAATTCCAAGGGTTATGACGGGATCCAAACCCATGCTAATATGGCAAGTACATATAGGGTATTTAGAGAATACATACATTCCTGATACATTCCTCAGCAAACTGCTTAAAACAAAAATCATACTAAGTGTGGCTAATTTTAATTGACTGATACTTGGCCTTTTTTATTATTTGTTGATAAAATTTGTGATGTTTCTTGAGGAACTAACAGTTCTTCTTTTTCCATTCTACTTAAGGTTTTAGCTCCAGTTCTTTGTTTCTCAAAGGCTGCATGTAGGATTGAATTAATTTGATGAAGACTTGTTCTTCTATGTATTCATCACTTAGTCACTCTCCCGTAAATTTCTGGCTACACAGTTGTTTTTCAAACAACCATCATGAAATATTGTGTGAATTTTTTCCGTGAAAAATAAATATTTTCAATGGCTTTCATTATGGTAAATGATTTCCACCATTCTATCATTGACCTACTTGTTTGAATCTGTTTCAAGAATTAATTGGCCAAATGTGCTTTAGTTGCACATTTACAATGATACATTATTATTTGTATGTGTGTAATATAATTAATATTTTCTTTACAATAAAAAATGTGTTATAGTTAATTTGAATTACGGGGTCGTACAAAACGGGGTATGAACTAAAATCCCCAAAATTTTCTGTCACATAGAATTTAAGGATTAAATAAAAAAATTAAAATAAAACAATAAGCTGTCTTGAACTGAATTTCATCTGCAGGTCCTGGAATATAAGTGTTGCTTTTCGCACAGTCATTTCCAATCAATTTGGACTGCCAATCCTTGTGGAGTTAGTCAACACACAATCTATAATTTATAAATAATCTATAAACTAAAAATCTACAAACCTTTCCTTTGGTTTACAGAAAAGAAACAGCGCAAAAATGGATCTGACAGACTAAAACTGCAAAGAAAGGCATACTCAAATGATCGGAAATAACCTCAGTTCATTACCCTGCAGAACTCAAGAAAGGAAGAAATCTACAACTCCACATGTTTGGGGAGCAGAAACCAAACTACATCATAATAAAGTTTTGGATAAGAAAATAAACTTCCTAAGAAAGAGCTTTTAAGTTTTAGTTAGTGTTGTAAGAGTATATAACTCTTCTACTATAAGAAGGTAGTTTGGGAATAATTTTGATTGTGAATTTCTATTTCCATAATCAGGTTATAGTACGTAACTATAGACCTATACGCTACAGACCTTTTCTTTTCAGTATGTGCATTCATGTATAATAATTTAACAAAATTCTGGGACCTTTTGAAATTTTTAATTTTAAATTTGATTTGAGAAAAGGATTGTTGAATTTCTATAGGTGAGTTTTAATTTAGCCATGCCAGTCAGTTTATTCCATTACAGAGAAATGTGTCTATGTTGAAATGGTTTCCTGGTTGTCAGTTGAAGTCCTTTCTATTGATGTGTGGTAAGTGAGATGTAAACAGTTCTGTCTGTCTTCTGAAGTTAAAATTAAATCATTATTCAATCATGAGTAATTTAAAAAATATATAATATATAAAAAATAGGGTTTTTGACATTTTTCTCTAAAGATGCACTGACTATAAAATACATTTTTATCAGTGGCAATTGGTTGTAAATATCTACTTACGAAAATAGAGTCTCCTCCTCAAGGGTTTTTAGAGGTGTAAAAGTGTAGGATCTTTTGTTCAAGCCCAAAACGCAAACTTTTTCCCCTGTTCCACTTTTTAAAATTTTCATAAACCATTGACTCGCTTGCATACCCATTTTTGTACCAAGGTTTCTGTCATAAGGGGAAGGATCACCTCCTTGCTGCATATGGCCTTGAAATAAATAAATAATGAGTTATGCCAATGTAATATTTAGTTTAAAAAATAAATAAATAAATACCAATAATGTTCATGCGAGCTGTAAAAATCCCTTTCCCTTCTTCAGCATAAAGACGGTACATAAAATCACTATTGTAGTACTCATTGCATTTTTCGTTTCTGAAATATACACATTACATGCTTACTTGTTTTAATCGAGCTTTATTTCGTTGCGGAACAAACGACAGTTGGAAAAAACCGTCCAGACTTTTACAGAGCAGCCTAGAGATACTAGCGATTTTTGGTTGGTGAATTCAATTTTTAATTTACTGTTTTGGCCCAAGAGTATTTTTAATTTATTCGAAACATTCGAGGAATTTGCTTTATTTTAAATCCTCTGTTTTGTCATTTGATATTCTTTTCACAGTTTTGATTTGATGTTTATGTGTTTTGTTTTAAATTTCATTTTTCATTTTATTTCTTCACATACATTTTCCTAAGACCTGAATTTCCAGCAGTAGGTAATATAATGCCCTGCCCCATTTGTATGGAGAGGCATTATATTGTATAATATTGTTTAATAAATGGTTTTTCTTTCTTTCTTTCTGTTTCAATAAAGTAAGAAAAATAATAAAACACTGAATTCAAAATAATATTGTACCTTAAAATTAAACCTCTTTGCACACCCTCGGCCATCTTTGAAGCAATGTGGTAAACATCCTTTTCTAAATCTTTTATTGAAAATTTTTCTTCAAAAATATAAGCCGCATCAGCTCCTCCAGCTAGTCCTAAAAGATTTAATCAATCAGTATGGCATCAAGGTAATAAAAAATTACGTATTTACCAGCCATAGTTGCCAAAAATCCGCAATAACCACCCATAGTTTCTACAATGAACACCCTCCGTTTTGTACCCTGGGCAGACTGACGGATCCTATCACAAATCTAAATAATTAAAAATTGATGGTTGAAAGAAAAAAACAACACATTATTGGTAGGTTGACATGCAGAAACCTCTGTTATTTCGTTTAAAGCTGTGTCACAACCAAGAGAAAGTTCAGTTCCAGGCACGTTGTTGCTAATAGTAGACGGAATGACCAATATCGGAATGTTAAATTCTGGATATTCAGATTGTGCTTTTAACAATTGCATAGCAGCCAAGAATGCCTAAAATAATTATTACAAATATAAATAAATAAGATCTATCCTTTAAATAAATGCCAAAACAATACCTCAAATCCACCAATAATTAAAAGGCCCTCAATATTATACTCCTTCAATTTACTAGCAACCAATGGAAATTTATCATTCGGAAGTGTCCTTTTTGTTCCTAAAAGCGCACCACCTTCTAATGTCCAACCGGCAACATCACCCCAAGCCATTTGTTGAAACTAAAATATATTTTTGTATTCATTATTAAAGAAAAAACTAAATAAGTAAACTTTAAAACTCGTACAGCCCCAGAGCAAAGTCCATCGATCCCATCATGAATACCATAAACTGTAGCGTTTTCGTACAGACTGCTTCGTACAAAAGCCCTCACACATGAATTCATCCCGCAAGCAGGGGCACCTATGTGCATCACAGCTAGTGTATGCCCCTATAAGAACATTAAAATCAAATAGAAAAATAATTAAATTCATATTGAATAATAGATGATAAAACCTTAGTTTCAGGTTCTGGTGAATTTGAGGCATTCTGGACTTGGTTCAAAATGTTATATGTTTCCAAATTTCTCATAAAAGACCTAAACATAATTAGAAATTATTTTTATGTAAAAAAGTCTGTTGATAAATAAATATGACTTTAAATTCACTAATTTCGTGGTCCGCTTGACCAATTAAATCATTACAATTAATTAAGGTTTTTAGTTGAGATGAAAAAAAAGTCAATGGCATGAGCGGGATTCGAACCAACAATCTTCGGCTAGATACGCCGCTGCTCTACCACTTGAGCTATCGTGACCTCGATCCACTCGGACATCAACTTCCTATCTCAACCCCACCGTGGGTTCGAATCTCGCTCGTGCCATTGACTTTTTTTCATCTCAACTAAAAACCTTAATTAATTGTAATAAATATGACTGTTAAAACATACACATACATGTTTACTTATAATGCAATTAATTCAACTTTGTTTAAAATTTAATAATTCTATTTAATTTAATTATTGCTAATTGACATAATTAATAAAAAACACAAGTTTAATTAATTACCTTCCTCTTAGCTGAATGGCTTTTTCAAAATCTTTCTGTGCCATTGCTTCGCTCACAGCTTTCGTCATGTCAACACACTTCATCAAAGGCAAAGAAATCGCTTGATTCCCGTCCAGTGTAATGACCAAAGACGGAGAATCTGGTTTGGCATTCATCAATGCTATTACAGCTTCGGCTCCCATTCTGCATCCCTTAAAAGAAAAATTGTGATTTAAATTTTTTAAATGTTTTTATGATTAAGTAATTAAATTGCCATACAAGAATCCTATCAAATGCTGATGTATTTCCTCCTCTTTGTATATGCCCCAAGACTGTGATTCTTGTATCCATATTAATTTTGTCAACAATAACTTGCTTTATTTGTGAAACTGTTATAGGGTTCCCATCACTATCGATTGCACCTTCAGCCACAATTATTGTATTATTTCTTTGACCAGTGGCTCTAGCCTGCAATGGGAAAAAAATCAAAGTAATATAATGATTTATAAAAATAGACTGAGCTATGTGGGGAAAACTATATACAATGCTTTATAATAGCGATTACATAAAAAATAGATAAATGCGTTAATTAATGCTTATGGACTATTCTATAACTTATGGGTGCAATTAAAATAACTACATGCAATAAACAAGTGCTAGCTAGTGAATAAATATGAAATAAGGTGAAAGTTTTCTAACAGAAATTATTATTAAATTCAATAATAAACTAAAAATGTAATATTTAGATGAAGAAACAAAGGCATCAGAAATGACAAATGGAATTTTTTCTTGCCTTTAAAACAAATTAATCTTCAGGCTGGACAGAAAGGACTGCTTATGTGTTTTATCACCCTGCTAGATGATCTGTAGCCAACTTATTTATCAGAGAACCCTGCATATTTTCATACTAATTTTTCCACTCCGAACAATAATAATTTATTTTTGCTACATGCTTAATTTCTTGAAAAACATTCAAGTTAAATATTAGTGAACATGCAATGTATTTACAAATTCTAAATTTTATTTTACTTTAAAAAACAAAGATGTTTTCAATTATAAACATGTACATATATGTGAAAATTTATATAATTAGTACAATACGCAAAATTCAAATATCGATTATTGCGATTCACTACCTGTTGTAAAGTATTACAGATAACATCAGGCCAATCTTTAGGAGGTGGACTTTCTGGACAAAAAACATAATCAGCTTCTGTGGTAATTGCTGATACCAATGCTAAATACCTAAAAACAATATATTATACATAAATTCTGCAGCTTATTATTTATTATTAATATATGTATATTTTATGCCAATAAAATAATAACACCATCGTACATACCCACAATGTCTACCCATCACTTCAATTATGAAACAACGCTGATGAGAATGAGCTGTTGAATAAGTAGCATCGGCTGCTTCTAAAATTCTATGCAAAGCGCTGTCAGCTCCAATTGTCATATCAGTGCCCCAAAAATCATTGTCGATTGAACCCACCATCCCGACTATATTAAGATACGCGAATTTATTCAACTGGTCTTTTGTGATTTCTCCTGGGAAAATCAAAAATGAATAATTTATTCTATTATAACATTGTAATCCTTGGGCTAACATTTTGTTACCATAGAGTACCATTTTCATGGAGCTCTCTGATGAGAGTGGGCCACTCCTGTTTAAAAAGGTTCGCTCCTGTAAGAGAACCGTCCCCCCCAATTACAACAAGATTGCTTATTCCTTTTTTGACCAAATTCTTTGCTGCTTGAAGGCGTCCTGACCTCTCCCGGAATTCGGCACACCTTGCCGAACCGATAACAGTGCCACCCTAAAACAAAACGAATGCATTAATTTAAGCATTTTATTTAATAAGGTGATAAATATAATATATTTAGAATAATTTAATTAATTATGAATAACCCTGATGTATTGTATTGATAAGTTTAAAATGATTTGAGTTGTTAATTTACACCTCAGATTTTATTGGAAAGAGAACACTCCTCCCCCCCAGAGGAATATCGACAACTATGAGGTGGGTGTGTGACATATAGAGAACCAAAGTAAATTATTAGCAAGAATGGAGTGGGTTTGACCACATCCTGAGGAATATCGAGTACTCTAGGCATGTAAATGTGACCAAACGTCTATGTTTGTATTTAGTACTCAGATACCAGTTCGTAGGACTATCAAGTACTACCAATGCCAGATGTGCAACTCCAACACACCTGCGTACACAGCCTGCCATGTATTTTTCATGGTAGGGTACCGTGGTTTCGTGATTCATTGGTGGGACACTTGGACTCTCAATGAGAATTCCTTGTGTCCTGCTGGGTGTCACCTTACCGTGGCATGCCGCTTGGGTTCCGAGGTTCCAATCATCCTCGGTGCTCCTGTGAGTCATTGGATGCATACATCTGTATATATATTAATGTTTTTGCTTCTATTTGATAGCTGACAACCTGATGTAAAAATGAGAGGCTAGCATTTTAAGATATCGACATAGTCTATATAAAAAAGCAGTCAGTAACCATATTGAGATGCTCAAATTCAAACAGCAATTTAAAAAAAAAAATGCATGAGAGGCCAGAAAAAGAAGTAAAAACACACAGAGGGCCAGTAATAACACACATTATACATATTGGAAAGAGTCCAATATTATTCAGGAATAATTTTACATCAACTGAAACTGATCTTGTACCATTGTTAAGACCTTTTTAATGAAATAAATAAATTTTTAAAAAATTTTTTCCATTGGTATGATTTGATACACATATAATGTACATGTGGTGGCTTGCGTTACCCACAGGAGAATTGTATCAAGAATGACTACCGATGACAAGAACTGCAGATAATTAGAAACCCCAAATTTCAGGCTTCATTTTCTTCTATCTGTACACCCATCAGATACCTTATTATCAATGTTATGTATAAACTTAGGTACACGTATTTCAGGTTTTTTCAATATGAAAAAGACTTCAAAAGTATCAAAAGATGTTCATATTTGTCCTTTTAAATAATTATTGGAACAAATAAGAATCCCAGTGTTGGTACAACATGTGTTTGGCGATTTGCAGACCCACCTTCAATTGTAGATATTGAATTAATGATAAATCATCATTATCAAGTTCTTAATTCGTAGAATGGCTAGATGTACGATAGTTCAAAGCCAAGAGGGCTAAGGGGAAAAAAGTTCAAAAAAGTTCTTAATTTATAGGATATTTAGAGGGCATACTTTTGAAATGATTCCTGACACAGATGCCCAATTTGCTTCGACAATGTTTGACCCACCGTCGACCAAACCTTGGTAGCCTTCTTTGATAAAATGAACTCTGCATCCGAGATATATGCCCATTCGCACGACCGATCTCACAGCAGCATTCATACCTTTAAATAACATGTTTTATTATTTAAAAACAAATATAAATGTTATGAATGTCACATACCTTGAGAGTCTCCACCACTTGTAAAAACAGCTATACCCTTTCCTTTGAAGGCACCACATTCTATAAATCTCTTTTTTATGTCTTCCATGATTAATTAATTACAGAAAAAAAGGCAGGGATCTTGATACTTGATAGTGATTTCAATCTCAAAATGGGCTGCCTCGAGCGAGAATAGTTTCTTTAAACTTATTGTCAAATTTCAATTTCGACTCCTCTGACAATGGATTATAGAAATTTAAACATCCTCTTGACCACAGGGACCGAATGGCATATTGATTTCAAGTGATAAAAAGCAATTGTTGAAGATAATAAAGAGAGTTTGCGCACCCAGTGTCGAGGCTACCGCCAGTGCCGAACAACTTGACAACCAGGTCCACGTGCTCCGAGCTTGACGTTTCCTTTGACTCTTGACAACTGCCGCGATCCGATGAGCTTGATCTCATAAAAGGGCCCATTTACGAAGGGTCATATTTTGCCAAAAACTGGTTAAAAATCACACGCAATCACCAAGGGGACTTTTTATCAGAGACTTCGATTGCTTTTGTAATCGCTAACAATACAATCTTTATCTTATCTTTAAAAATTTATTGGAACAATTGTATTTCTCTTGATATTTTAGTCTGTAAACTTGATACAACAATTATTATTCAATTGGTAAAAATATACTGTGAAATTTGAAGACAAAAACATGTGGGGTTTATAACAGTACTTCAATTTGGGAATGGAAGAACTTTACAGAAACAAACCTTTCTGCCGCATATTATGGAAATTTGGGGAAATTATACAGAAAAAATACCGATAGAGACCTAAAAAAGAATAGCATTAAGCATTTTTCTTAAATAAATTGTTTCTTACGACAATTTTGTTTTAAATTTAAAGCATTACATACAAATTAAGTTGCCATTTTTATTACCAACGCCATTTTACTAAGTTTCTACCATAAATTCTGAAAGGACATCATAAAAAAAAATTATTTAAGCACCAGAACGAATTAAATCAATCTTCTTCAACTGCAGATTATTAGTATAAAATATCAAATTTGGTTTTATTACAAGAGAACATCAAATACAACTGAAACTAAGATAAATGTTAGGGTAAAGTGCTTAATACTGTCTTTACAAAAGAAAAAAAAAGGTTTTTGCAACAATAAAAAAATGGTTTTGAACTATTGTTTCACTGGTTGAAACTAAATTGTTAATTTACTGCTAAAGATCAACCAGAATTTCTGAAAGATTTATTCACCAGAAAGGGTCAAATGAATTTTCAAATTCTACTAAATATGAAAATAATTTTTAATTTATTAACTTTTATACTAATAAAAATCAAATCTATAAAAGAATAGTACTAACCTTTTTTGCCAAATAAACATTTATTTTGGTATCACTTTTTACTGCAAGCAGTTTGTACAAATTGAATATATTTTCATTACGGCCACCATTTGATTGAATTTAAACCCTTAAACCAGTGAGTAAACTAATATTAATTGTTCAATCAATAAAATCAAATAATAAATATATTTTAAATTGAGCAATAATCTCCACAAAGTGCAATAAGTTACATAAATCACATAGAGATAAAACATCAATAAATCGAGTGAGCATTGATGAACATACAGTTTGAAATCCATTGTTGAAAACAACAAACTTTGAGTAAGAATTATCTTTTTAAAAATATTATATTGTCTCGTTAGCCTTGTCCTTTTCAGAAGGGGGTAGGGCAGATAATCAACAAAATGGAATTGTGGTATTAATACAAAATTAGTATTGTCATTTTGGGTCGAACAGTCTGGAAGAGACTAGTTTTATTGACATTGTCACCTCACCGTACTATTCTTTATATTTTTATTTATCTTTTTATTCATTAAAAATAATACAATATGCAGGAAGCTTGGTTTCTCTTGAATAAATCATGTTACATGCAAGTGAATTCCTGGGAAAATAATGAGAGGTAAATTTCCAGAACAAGTTTGTGAATTAAACATACACAAGTGTGATACTACTACTAGCGAATTCTTAAAATAAGCATTAAAAAAACTCATAAAAAGAAATAACTAGACACATGGAAGGTACAAATAAATTACCTTCAGAGGTGAAATGAGAACTGGCTGAGTAAGCTGTCAAAGCACTATTAGAGCTTTTAAAATCATATACATGATGCCTCAATTTTCTTTTGAGAAGCAAACTTTAAAAAAAAACTCATCAAACAAAATGTAGGTTGCCTTTTATTTACAAAATCTCGTAAACATCCAACATGAAAGTTACAAAGAAATTAACTTTAGATGTGAAAGTTTGCCGATAAAATATCAAAGCTGTTTTTGTCAAAAAAAATCTCACATAATACCTCAAATTTCTACTAATTAAATAATATATCAAATGATTAATCTTACTGTTAAAAAAGGTCACTTATTGGGTCAGTCTTCACTTGCAGATTTGAACTACTCAAATGCATTTGAACAGTACAACAAACCCGACCCGTGAGTGAAGATCGACCCAATGCTGGTTAATCATGAGTACACCAACACCCAGCATTAACGAGAGATAACTTGGTACAACTGGAGCAACTACACACAGATTAAGTGATGCAGTTGATGAAAGTATAAAGATGTATATAAAAACTTTTATTACAACCATATATACAAATAATTCATTAAAAGTTAATGTTTTAAAGAAGCTTTCTTAAGTTTCTTCTGTTTCTGTTTCCATATTTTCTTCCAACTTTTTATTTTTACTGCCGTTCTTTGTTTTGAACATGCCACCTTTAGACCACATGCAGATCAAGGAAATTTTAAATTGTGCCATTCTGTTGTCCAACAGTTTCTTAAAATAAAGAAAAAAATTAAAATACATGTTTAATGGAAATAATTATTTATTAAATCCTTACAAGTATTCTTGCTTGTTCCGGTGTAAGCACATCACCCTCATTACAGACTTTGTGATCTGTCAAGAGTGTAACCACTCCTTTCTTTAGGGATGTTGGGAGTCCCAATTGTCTTAACTGTGGCTCCATTGAATGGGGGAATTCAGGAAGCGGTCCTTCAGGAACCACCACTGTTTCTGTAGCTACAAAACCGCTTCTTGCATAGTCTTTTTCCAAGTAGGTGTCAAAAAATCTAACAAAAAATGAATATTAATGTAACTTATTACATAAAAGAAAATAACTTTGATTATTAATACTAACTTTGTGACATCATCATTAGATCTGTTGGTAAACAGAAGACCACACTGTCCTTTCAGTTTGGCAGAGAGTTTGTGTAAGTTGTCTTCAACTTCATCTTCTTTCTTTCTTCCAAGACCAAGAGTCATTACTTTATTTTTCCCAAAGAAAAATCTAAATACAGGTTAAATCATTATTTTGCAAACAATAACCCCCAACTTTATGAGTACACATTTATTTATTATTATTTTCTATTTGAAATATATTATTTACCTGCTGTCATTCCAATCACCTCTCAAATTCTTCAATTTCCCATTCCTCATATTTTCAACTGAGAAGACAAATATATTTTTGTACTGCTCGACACTTTTCCTTATCTGCTCAACCAAAGAATGTTTTGCCTGCAACCCCTTTTTTGTGGTCTTTGTCAGTGACACTAAAACAAAATGACCAAAATTGCCAACTAGATTCATAGACTATAATGTTTGAAGGAACTTATGTACATACATATGCATTGAAATATTTAGATAACTTTTCGAAAATAAGTGCCCCATTTTTTACATTAAATACCCATTTGATCCAGGATTTATTCTCAGTTAGGTTTAACTAATACTTACCAACTCAATCCCAAATTTTTTGAAGCTTCTTATTGGATTTAAGTTTGAACATCGATCAGAAACTAAAGCTTAAAATGACATGCTCATTTGTTTATGAAATGTAAATAAATAAAAATAAACACTGTTAAATAAACATAAAAACTGTAACTACACTTTTTTCATCCGCGAAAATGACATCATCCCAGACACATCATTTCACAAAGCTTAGCCACTTTTCTGACTGATGAACGGCTTCTTTCAAGCTGTTTGTCCATGAAAATTGGATTTAAATAGATCTTATTCTATCTTATTTATTTATATATGGATACAATATTTGTACAAAATATAAAAGTAATTATATATAAAAAGAGCACACCGTGTCAACAATACTCATACAATAATAATATAATAATCATTACGTTTAGTGAAACACATATTATGGTGTTACTTACAATAATATTCATATGGATAGAAGATTTATTAAATTATGTAAAATAATACAATATAAATGAACAGATTGTCTAGATTTGTTTAGCGAAAAGTATTAATAGAAGAATTAAATAATTGTAGAAATGGTGAATGATGGAGTGAGTGCGGTGTTCAATCCTTTTTTTAAAAAGATAGTTCTTAGTCACATTAAGTTTTTTCCGATCCGGATTTCAAGCCCTTAGCTTAGGAAAACAACTTAATGTGAGTAAGAACTATCTTTTTTTAAAAAAAGGATTAAATAACTGTAGGTGAGGGATATGCTGTGTAGCGGTAAGTTTTGCCATAGTTAGTATCGGGGTGTGGAATACAGAAGGTCCTATGCCGTCTAGGCTAAGGAGTAATAAAGAAGTTAATTTAAGAGAAAATAAGTTAAAATTTAAGAGAACTTAAAAGTTAAGAGCAGTCAATATATGAATTAATAATTTTAAAAGGAGTTAGTTAAGTAGATTGAAATGTGTGTAGTCATAACCGGAAAGATTTATACCCATCTTAAAGGCAACCATTCTTAAAAATTTATTTTGCACTCTTTGAAGTTTCTGATTTGCATGAGCTGTGTATGGATTCCAGACTGGAGAACATCATTCAAGTGAATCTCACCATAGAGGTGTATAATATCATCATGGAAATTATTTTCATTCTTTCGAAATCATGAGGTGAAGTCTAGCACTTTTAAACTTGTGGATTTTATTGTATCAAAGAGTGCATTAAAATCTAATTTATAATTAAAGTTACACCAAGATCATTCGTGATGCTTTTTTAGAATAAATATGAGCTATTTTTCAACATTTAGCGTTAATTAATAATTAATTAATTACTCAATAACAATCTCATTATTCATCCACAAGATGTGCTCTAGGGGGCCTGACATCAACCGCATTAGCAACAATGTGTCACTGATGTGGGGGCAAATCGCACCACACGTTCATCGATTATGTCTTGTAAGTACTTTCATGAAATTCCTTGCAATAGATCTTCCTCACACAACAACCAATTCAATTGGAGCAACCAAGGAAATGCCACCTCAAAACATCATTGACCCACTGTGGAAAGCCACCTGAGGAACCATACAATATGGAGTATACCTTTCTCCTCAGGGTCTTCATATGAAAAACACCCTTCTGAAGATTTGATGCTAACTCTCACCTCATCTGTGAAGTGATCTAGTCTCCAATCTTCCAATGTCCAATTCACATTTTCTTGTGCGAATTGAAACCTTGCCATGGGTTGCCGTGGTAGCCAAGTGGTTAAGCATCATACTCTTGGCTAGTAGATCCCGCGGTAGTAGGTTTGATCCTAACTGTTGCTTCTGGACTTTTTTTCAGATGACTAAGGGCACCGGTGGCCGCAATTGAAATAAATCAACATGGCACTCATCAATGGTAGGTCTGAGGTGGGATTGGATATTAGCGACCCTGAATTTGGTCCCAACCCCCTTCAAAAATGAGTTTCTTCGATGGAAGAACACAGGCGGCTCAATTCACACGCGCATGTTGTGAGCTCCCAAAAAATGGAGCCAGGAATAAATTAAGTAGTAGTAAATAAAGTACATTAAGCTGTACAGCTGCAGGGCTCACGGGGACCTCCTCCAGTTCCTGATATCCATTGTAAATTATTATCGTTGAGCCTGATGATGAATAAATCTATTGTCTCTCGTCAGTAGACCTAGGTCGACCCTGGCTTAGCTTTCTCAAGTGAAGCCCTATTTCTCTGAAGCACCGAAGGGCATGATTTACACTCAGTCTCTGGTGACTTCATGTAGGCTGCATCCTTTCTCTAATAATGTTATGACCCTAACATTGTGCACTATTCACTCAAAATACCTGAACGGAGCTATTGAAAAAGATTTAAGAATAAAAGTAACATCAAATGAAATCAACAAAGGAAAAAGAATAACTGAAAGCAATCTTGAGGCGAAGCAGAATAGAAGGGCATAATGCTTTTTGTGCAAATGGGATTAATCAATAAAAAAGTAAACAAAGCATTATTTACTGTTTATTATGACTACAATAGCTGCTAATTACTATTAAAAGATAATGGATTTAACTTGAAACTAAATAAATTGTGTGGTGAGTTAAATTGATCTATTAATGAGTTCCATATCTTTATAATTATTAGAGAACTACTGTATTCCAATTTACTACCAAAGCAGTGCTGTAAAAAAACAACTTTTGTAGCTGTCTAATATGAAATTCAAATAAAGAAAACATTGTAAACGCTTTTTTAAAAATTTAATTCAATGACTGATGAAGACGGAAACAATGAAGATTTTGAGTTTTAAAATGTGGCCAATTACCTTTTTTGTCCCTTTTTGATTTCGGCATTTTTGGAAAGTTGAGTTAAGTGTCAAACTCGTGGTCAAGAAGCGTGTGAGTGCTTAAGGTTGCAATAACCATCGGAAAGGTAATATCTGCTTTGTATATAAATTTATACATTTTGTAAAAAAAAAGTTATCTAGTAAATATTTAAATTCAGTGACAGTTTTGGATAGTTTTTTCTTTGCTGATTTTTTATGGTTTGTATTTTGTTGCGGCGCATCGAAAAACTGTGAGGTCTCGTGTGTTCACATCGTTATTGCACCTTCGATGAAAAAGAAAAAAACAAAATCAAGACGAAAAATCCAATCAAAAAAATAGCCATTTGTTAAAAATTCTTGATTTAAAAAAATACTAGATTAGGTATAATACAGAATTTTTTTTGAGAAAATAACAAGTTTGTATGCCGTTTTCCGACGGGGCAAAACCGATATATAAGAGACGTATTTCAAAAGCGAAAAAATTCCAAGATTAATCGAAGACTTTGAAATTTTTTTCCAGCTGTTTAGACTTATTATGAAGTGGGTTTTTGACTGAAGCGTGACCAGGACCGATTCACAGTCAAGCAGCGGTTTCCTTCTTCGCCCATTCGGTTAGGAGCCTAAAAGTGACCTCAGACCCGACAAGGCTCTCCCGGTAAGATTTGTGTTGGGTGTGCGCGCGGCTCGATTAGATTTTAGTGTCCCGTCTTCAAGGGTTTATTCCTGTTTTTAGACCGAGAAAAAAGTGAGTATGAATTTATTTCAAACGATTTTTTATTGTTGAAACACTGGCGGCCGGGTGACGGGGGAAAATCCGACCCGCCGCCGATGGTGAGGAGTGACGCAGAGTAGGAGTGCCCCCTTTTTATAATCAGACTCGGCGAAACGCCATATTGGATCGTCCTGTCCCCGTCCTCGCTCACTTTCGAGCCGGCTTACTTATTTCAAATCCCAGATTTTCACAGTTTCCAGTTTAGATTTGCCAATTTTTCACACCGAGACTTTTTCTCTCTTTCATTCTAGGCGTTTATCGCTAAATACGGCCAATTTACTAAAGAACCTGGTTTCTGTCTGAAAAAGGTTAGTCTCCTTTTCATTTTTTTTTAATTCTCATTTTTCTATTTTAGCTTTTACTTTATAATTTTACTCTTTAATTTTGTAAATCGTTAAATTTTCATCGCTTCCTTATTTATTGGATCATAGGTTAACCTCATTTCTGGTAGGCTGATCGTTTTTTCATCTCTTACTTCGGGACTAAATAGGGTTCGAGGAGTTGAAAAACGTGCTCCTCGCTTCTAAAACAAATCGAACAGACGAATCATATTTTAAAATCATAAGTTTTTATTAATTTATTTTAAAATAAGAAAAACCGATTCTTAACTCATTTGTTCTATTATTAATTTACATGTGTTTACTTCGAAGCTTTCAACTTGAAACATCGGTAAGTTTTTTCTTCTTTCTCAACCCCTTTTGTAAACGGGTTTTTCCCGATTTTCCTTTCCCTCGGCACTGCGATGGTTTGACATTGGGCGATTCTGACACAAAGGGAAAATATTTGAGTACATAAATACTATAGAGATAATAGGTTTTTTAAAATAAATTTTCTTTAGACCTTATCTAATCATTTTATAGGGGAAAAAAACTTGTAGTGAATTTATTTTTTCTCTCTTAAATTTCGTCGAGTGGGGCCCGAGGTGAGAACTCTCGATCCCGCGGATCTTATCGATCACAGCCGGCCGATCCGCGGATTTGATCTGATCGCCGTACGATGAAATTTGGCGAAAATTGTCGCCCCCACGGAAAATCGGTTGCTAGGCGGTGGTTGGTCGGTGTGAGTCGGCCCACCCCCGCCCGGGTTGCCAAGGCAGAGGGGTGTGGGTGTGGGCCACCCTCCGCCGGCTCTGCCCCCTGCCTTCTCGCCCCATGTCCAAACTTCGTTATCAGAAATCTGCCCCAGAAAATTTTCCACTGGGAGGAAAACGTTTTGAAATCGGGATAAAACTTTTTTTTATATCATTCCGACCATTCATTCTCGTATTTGTTAACTGCCTTTTTATTTACACATGGACGGATATGTTACTACAATTATTACATTGTACTCTTCCATTGTAATTTACCATCCAACAAATATTTTAAAGTTTTCCTACAAACCTTTCTTTTCAGTATGCCTAAGCCACATTTTCAGTAGTCCACTCATTGTTCAGTTAATCACTTAAGCCATAGTTGAAAAAAAAAAGTCATTTCCCCATCGTTCAACAACAAACATTTGAAATTTTTGACGAAGTCCTCACTCTCTAGGCTTCATTGTGATTCACTAGCCGAAATTTACATGCTCTATAGTTCTTAATTGTTTTCCATCACTTAATCATATGAAAATCTAGTTACAGTTATTTCCATAGCATTACGAACTTTTTCATTTTCATTTCAACAATTGTGAAAGTAAATTTTGGCGGGCTTTCGCGATGTCCGCCACCATCTGATTCGTTGCCTCGTTCACGAACCGACATTGTTTAAAGATTTAATTGTATTTCCTACCATTGTAATTCACTAGCCAAAATTGACAATTCTATGCAGTTTTTTAACATTTCTTTTTTTCTGCCCGCTTAATCTCATGAAACCATAGTTACTATAGTTTTATTTCCATAATCTACATTAAACATTTTCATTTCAAATAATGTGAAAGTAAATTTTGGCGCTGCTTCGCGAAGTCCTCCCCACCATCTGATTAGTTAACTCGTTTATGAACCACCATTAAATAAATGCATTTTGTCGTACCGTTAATTAAAAAATAGCCACAATATTTACATTCTCCGCGGATTTAAAACATTTTTTTTTTGTCCGCTTAATACCTCATCAAACCATAGTTAAAAACAGTTTATTTCCACAGCATTCAGGAAAGGTTATCTTGGAACTTCAAAACAATTCAAGTGTGTAAAAGTAACTTTTGACGAAGATTCGCTTTGAAATCCCGTTGATTCGTTAACATCTTTTTCAGGAAACACTATTTCATATTTATTTAATTGCATTTACCCCGTACCCCTTGTGAGTCTAGCCAAAATATATATTCTCTCAAGTTTTTAAACATTTTTTTACTGTCCACTTAATCTCATGAACCCAAAATTTCCATAGCAGTACCTACGAATTTAGAAAATTTCATTTCGAGAATTGTGAAAGTAAATTTTGGCAGGGTTTTTCGAGAAGACCCCCCACCATCTGACATGTACTTTTGGCGGGGCTTTTCGCGAAGTCCCCCCCACCAACTGATTTGTTCACTTTTTCATGAACCACTTTTTTTTAAAAAATATATTTCATTTTATCCTGCCATTGTAATTCACTAGTCCAAATTTACATTCTCAACAGTTCTTAAACTTTTTTTTACTCTCACTTAATCACATGAATTCACTAGCTAATTTATGTTATCTATAGTTTTTAAACATTTTTTAAAATTTAATCTCAATAATACCACTTAATCTCATAAAAACCATAATTTCATTAGTTCCTGTCTCACCATTTTTTTTAAATTAATAGTATTTTACCATTGTAATTCACTAGCCAAAGATCTAACGTGTTTTACTGTTCATTCACTCTGATTCGTTAATGATTTGAAACCAAAGTTTAACCTGAGATTTAATTTCCCTACTTTAACACCAAACATTTCGTGCCGTCAAAAGGTTGAAATGCGAACCATAAAATATAAAAATTACTTATGGCCAATGTGTCTTCACCCTCTGATCCGTTAACTGGTTCATTGACAATCTTCTTTTTTTATAACTGTTTTATAATTGCGTACTTAAACGACCTAACTAAATTGTTCACTTGAAAAGTACCTGAAAGTAACTTTGCTTCCTCACATTCTCTGATTCGTTAATTTTTTTGAAGGAACGCTATTTTGTTTTATTTCACTTGCCGTATGCTGCATATGCAAATATTCGCGACTGTAACAGTAAATAAACTTATTTCTAATTAAATTAAATAACTCATAAACATTTGATATCAATTATTCAAATATGTTAAAAAAATGTTGGGCTGTTACTTTCTCATCAGTTAAACTGTGTTAACACAAAAACTATGATTTAAATAATTATTAGGTACAGACTTTGAAAAATTAACATGCCATATTACAAAAAGGTTTAGCGAAACCACTTACTCTGATTCTTTAACAATTTAACTCGTTCTCATGAACCACCGGTTTGTATAATTTCAAATTTGTTTTGTAATTTAATCGCAAAGATACATTGAAATTAATTACATTCTAAATGTAGACAAGCAAGTTTTATCCAAGTCCCCTAACCCTGATTGATGATGAACTGAACTTGATCACATGAACCAGTTATTGAAAAATGTTTCTATCTGTACTGGTATAAAAATATATTTTTTTATTACGCTACACAAGAACTTTTTTCAACGTAAATTGCTTACAACATTTGAAGAATGAAAATTAATTGTATCCAAAACTTAGAGAAGCATGTTTTAGCCAAGTCCCCAACCCTGACTGATGATGTACTGAACTTGATCACATGAATCAGTTATTGAAAAATGTTTTTATCTGTACTGGTACAAAAATATTTTTTTATTGCGGTAAACAAGAACTTTTTGCAACGTAAATTGCTTAGAAAATTTTAAGTGAGAAAGTAACATATTGCACTATCCACTCACAGATTTGACAAGTTACTCTCGATCGCAATCAAGTACAGTTTAAAATATTTAATGTAAAATTTAAACGTCTAAAATGTAAACATCACATACCAATACATACCACATACTATCAGTGTAAACATTTTATTAATACTTGTTTGGAATTCCATACGAGCTAAGGTTTCATATCAATATATGAAAATAACATTTTGCCCAATAACACCCACTCCCTTGAATCATTTTTTTCCTGTGATACAAATACACAAAATACATTCTAAAGAAGGTATCAAAACATCATTAAAGTTGGTCACTGGTTCCATAACAATTTATTTTTTTACATTAGCCAGATTTGTTTATTTAAACTATTATTGTTAATAAAACAAGTAAAAAGTAATATGAAACATGTGTACCAGATTGTTCTTAAATAAGCCTATATGCGTATGAATTCACAAAAAACCCTATTCATATTTCATGCATATGAACTAGCCATACAAACACTGTATTGTCCACTCCCTCTGATTCGCTAACAACTTCCTTTTCATATAAACCATCGTTTAAACTATTTTGTACTAATTTCTCCCAAAAAAAGAACCAAAAGTAAATTATTTGCAACAATTTTTCCTTTTAAATAAGGTCAATTTTTGACGAAAAGCTGAGTTTTCACCGGGTTATAATTTTACTTTCGGTTTATATCCCAGGGTTAGGTAAAAATTGACATTTCCGATGTTTTTTGGAAGTCGATGAACCTCTTTTGAGCCCTTATTGCCTCCGGCTGTCTCTTTTTATTATCCGCTTTATGTACCTACTTGTCAAAGTTTCTATCCCCTTTCCCTCGGCCTTCAAAAGGGAATTGAAAATAGCTAATGGTATTTACCTAAGGTCTCATGAAAATTGAAGCTTATCCAGGGACGTATTTTAGGATTGTTTTTAATTTTACAACAGACCCTAACTTTCTCTACGAATGTAGCCGGATATCAAAAGGCAATTTTTTACAAATTAAGTTATAAGCATATATAATATGGGAAGTTTTGTGTTTTTATTACAAGTGACATCCAATAGTTAGTAGTTCACTTTTGCCCATTACTGTCTCCATTAGTTATTTTTTGTCCTTGATCATAAACGGACTTAATACACTTCTACGTTCTAAGTTCCTTTTCGTTTGAGTTAAGCCATAAATACTCTAAGAATATCGAACCTGGAAAAACTTTGCCCACGTTTTAAACAATGTTTTTGAAATTGGGTCGTACTTGTTTTCAACGTGTTTATTTAAAGGGCGATGTTGTGAATATTCTGGAAGACTAGCGCCAAAGCCTTTCAGAATTTAATGACGGCGACAACTCTGTCCCCTGTCGAAATAGGTTTTTTTTATTTGTACGTGGAAAAGACGTTAAAACAGGAGAGGCCAATTTCCTCAGGAGGGCTTTTTCTTTTTAATAATTTAGACCTTCCTGCTGGGTAGACAGGCAGGGCGGAAGGAAATTGGCGGAATTACCCCCAAAGACAGGGAGAAATTCCTCCTGGTAAATACAAATTGAGAAAGAAAGGTTTTTACAAGCAATGGACTGAAACAAGTCGCATCTAGGAACTCTTTGCTCCTATTTTCCTGCAATTATCCTTAAATCTTTCTGAATGAATTTATTCATGTGCACAAAAAAATTGCAGTTAGTATTAGGATGTGGGGGGGGGCTTGGGTTTAGATCACATTATAAAATATTGGCTCAACTGCAAACAGAACTAGTTCAAGGATTTTTTATGATTTTTAATAATTGTAAATAATACCTGTCAAATGTCCCTAATACCTTACGTTGACTGTATGAAAGCTGTATGACGATGAAAGATAAATATTTTTAAAAAGTTCCATCTTATCTGTATAAAAATGGGAAACCGATTTCCCAGAGAAAATATTTCTTTAAATACCATAAAAAGAAAAAAATCGAGACCTTCACGTCACCCGAAGGAAAAATTGTGAAATGTGTATTCAGGTCGTTTTTATCTTATCGCCTAGTTTTTCCCTAATAAATTAGAAATATACCTTCAACACGACACATCTAGGAACTAAACTGGTCGATTCTACTCACTTTGACGATTACACGCTTCATCCTAGATCGGCATTAGTCAATGAGTGTGTTAATAGTTCGTTTGAGGTGAGTCATGAAAGAATTTCGAGCCTTGGGGTTGTACCTTATATTTATCGTACAATAATATTAAACCGAAGAGTATGGAAAAGGCAAAGGAATAAAGAAATTGTATTTCACCAAATTCCCAAGAAAACGTGTTTATTTATTTTAAAAAAAGTAAGCTATTTCCTGTCTAGTGGTGATTCATCTTTATATTTGAAGAGTATTTCTCAGGAATCACGTGGTAGAATGTAGGAAACATTTGACATGATTTAATTGGATTTTGTATATGAGAACAATAAATGAGAGCTGATTCAAGATTTTAAATTGTAAACATGGATTATATACTTATATATCCATAAATTATTATATATATAAAAATTATTAATTTTTATTTAATATATCCATAAATTATTCATTTTTATTTAAATATTTAAGTCGTAACTGCTCAAAAGGGTGATACTTGGTAAATCTTCTTGATTGCACAGGGAGAGTGACACGAAAGGGATGGGAAAATGGTTATTGTAAAGTTGACAAAATTCATAATTCATGAGCTCTAATGGTTGATCATTTTGTTCAAACAGACCTGTTTTAGTGGATAAACCCTTTATCAATATTTTCCCTTGTGTCGCCGCCCTTATATTTATGCCA